GAATTTTTTTGATTTCTTTGACAAAATAGTAAGATTCATAATAACCTTAATCATTATATTTGGAATTCAACATTACATCGGAAGAGTTCAAATTGTAGGTATAACAGGAGGAATTGGTTGTGGTAAATCAACCATAGCCAAATACTTCAATGAATTCCTTAAAGTCTAAATAATAGATTGCGATTAAATAGCTAGAGATATTGTAGAACCTGGCAAACCAGCTTATAAATTAATTGTTTAGAGATTCGGACTTTCCATTTTAGCAGGCCAACAAGATGGATAACCTATTGAAAGATAGAAGTTAGCAGATGTGGGTAACTAGTATTGATTAGCATTTTCAGTATTTTAAGATAGTCAAAAAAGAAAATAATTGCAAGCTATTACAAATAAATTCATTTTTAAAGAAATAGCTAAATCTATATGGAAAATATGTTTTATTCAAAAGGATCAATATGTAGTAATTGATGCTCCATTATTATTTGAGAGTAAAGTTTTAGAATATTTCTGTTTCCCCATTATTACAGTTGTAGTGACTAGTCAAGAAGAAATTATTAAAAGGTTATGTTAGTATTTTATTAAAGAGTCAAAGAAAGAAGTGGTTTAAGTGAAGAACAAATATTACATAGAATTGAATCATAAATGAAAGCTGAAATAAAAATAAAAAAATCAGATATTGTTATTACAAATGATAAATCCGAGAAATCATTAATAAGATAAGTCTAAGAGAAAGTATTTGAGTATTTAATATGAAATAATATTTCTATTATTAATTATTTTTTATAATAATCATACTTCTAATAAATAAATTAATCATCTTCTATTTGGTATTGGTTTTAATGTTCTAAAATCCATTTCTTATTTTGGTGCATTTTCAAACACTTTCTCTAACTTTTCATCCAAATTTTTATCAAATTTCTTTAATAATTCAATGCTACCTAATGATTCTTCCAATTATGCTACTGTTCTTGCTCCAGTAATAGCAACATCAATATCCTTATTTCTCATTGTCCATGCTAATGCTAATTAAGCTGGAGTAACTGATAATTCTTTAGCCAAACCTACAAATTATTTCAATCCTTCTACACATTTTGGATTACTTGCTATTATTATATTGAAATATTATATTACTATATTTCAATAAGAATCTATTTGTAGCTCTCTCCTTTGTTAACCATCCATTATCTTTTCCACATTTACTATTTTCAGGAATTCCTTCTAAATACTTTCCTGTTAAGAATCCTCCACATAAAGGACTATAAATAGTAGTTCCATAATTGTATTTCTCATACAATCCTACGAATTCTTATTCAAATCTCTTTCTCTCCAACATATGATATTCTCCTTGATCAGCTATTGGTCGAATCAATCCATGAGAATCTGCATAATTAATAGCCTCTTGAATTTAAGCAGCATTCCAATTACTAGTAGCCCAATAGAATGCTTTGCCATCCTCAATTACTGTATTAAATCCTCTGACTATCTCTTCAATAGGTGTTTCACAATCATATTAATGAGCATACACAATATCTACATAATCTAATTATAGATTCTTTAGACTAGTATTAACAGCTTCAATGATATGCTTTCTACTTAATGTACACATTCTATTCACATTTAATCCTAAATCCTATAAATTATTAAATACCTCCTGGAGCTTAGTTACCAAACACTTTTGTAGTAATTACTAATTTCTCTCTTGGAATATTAAGTATTTTAATAGATCTACCAAGTTACTTCTCAGCTTCTCCATGTTGATAACTAATAATAGATAGGAATTAAGAACAATTCTGCAGTATCAAAGAAATTGATTCCAGCCTCATATGCTCTCTTAATAATGGCCACATTGACTTCCTCATCTTCAGGTTGGAAATTGACCATGTTACCAAATCCCAATTAAGAAACTAATAACCCTGTATTTCCCAAACGATTATATTACATAATATTATAATTAATAATTGCATCATAGAATCGTGATCATTATATACAAAAAAGATACTGATATTGTCTGATTCATTATATAATCAATCTATTATTAAGAGTATTATAATATCTCTTAAATAGTATCAATATCATTAATAACTTCATCTAAACATTGTTAATACTTAAATAAATAACCCACTTTATAAATCACACTCTTTATATAATGATAAAATCCATATTATATAAAATTTGCATAATTAATAAATAATAATGATATAAATTATATATTTTAGTAAATATATATATCAACACAAAAATATAAGATATATAATTATATCTTTATAACATTCTTATTATGATTGGTTCCAAAAAAAATAGATTATATTGTAATAAATATTTATTCATATTAATAATGTCATCCTTGAGAATCTGGATGCTCATATGCAAATTCTGGCAGTTGATCCAAATTCTCTACAACCTTTTTAAGAGCTGGATATTTATCCAAATTGACTAAATAAGATACATCATCTCCTCTAAATGCTGGATACAAGAATGCATCAGCTATTGTCACTTGGTTCCCAAAAGCATAATCTCCTCCATGTTTTTCTACTAAAGTATTTAATGCTATAATAAATGATATTTAATATAAACCTGTAAATCCTCTTTCTAAGAAAGGTTCTGAAATTTCTTATCTATTTATATCACTGACATAATTGTGAACATATTTATAAAATCTAGATGCATGATATGGATGTATGCCACTATTTACAGTTTCACACATAGATCTAAAGATATATTTAAAATTACCTAACTATAGCTTTTTCTAAAGGAGATTTGGGTAGTAATTTATTTCTTGGAAACTCTTCTTCTAAGTATTCTGCAATGGCCATACTTTCATGTAATAATTATCCATTAATTTCTAATGTAGGAACAATCTATAAATATATAGATATTATTATAAATACTTAAAGTGGATTGATTTAAGAATACATATTTGATAATTACTCAGCTTTAGGTAAATTTACAAAAAATGGTTAGAATTGAAGTTGTTTCAATTTTAACATAATGCTTACTCTCCATGGAGCTGAATAACCTCTATAGGTATATAATCTAATTGCTAATCTTGATGTTGACATTAAAATTAAAATGATATATAAATAAACTATAATCACTTATATTGATTTGAAACTAAAACAGAGCAATTCTCAATTGTTTATTTATCAGCATAATCCAAAATCAAAGTGCCTGTTTGATAATTATTAATAATGATTTTACGATAACTCTTCAAGAGAAGTATCATAATCTAAACACCAAAATTAGCTGAATATTATTAAAGAATCTTCTATTATTAAATCAATTCTCTTTCATCCTCTTTATTATAAATCTATTCAATATTAGCACACACTAATCTTGATCTTTATTCCTACAAATATTATTTGCATTAATCTAATTTCAATATTGATAATTTATCAAGTTATTTCTCAAGCAATTCAAAAATCTTATAGATTTATTATTTTTTCTTTATTAATTCAGATAACAATACACTACTGTTATTTTCATTAGCAATAGTTTTTGTTCTCTTTGTACTTATTGATCTTATAGGAGATGATTAAGTGCTACTTGTTCTACAATAATCTTATAAATTTTATTAAGATTATTGTTTATGCATTTATTATTTCTTTGTGACATAATACAATTCTTTTGTCATATATATATTCATTAATTACTATTTTTCATTTCCTTAAACTGCTTTCATCAATTAATCCCATCCCCATCTATCCTTCTCTTCTTTACCTAAACAACCTATAATTATTTATCTTGTCAGTAATTCAATTTATGGTTAAAATGGAAATTTCAATGGTTCTTTATCTAATCTATTCAATAATTCAACTACATTAGTTGAATGCCAAGGAGTTATTTTGTAAATCATTTCATACAAAATCAATCCAAGTGACCAAATATCTGATTTACTTGTATATGGCTATCTCTTTAAGATTTAAGGTGCCATATACAATGGGGTTCCAACAAGTGATGACATTGTTGAATCCATTTATACTCTTTTTGCAAATCCAAAATCTGTAATTTTGAATATACCATCCTACAGTAGAATATTTGCAGGTTTTAAATCTCTATGAACTATTCCATTCCTTAATAATTCTTATAATCCATTTAAGATTTATTTAAATATTTAAAGGGCTCTATCCTCACTTAATGTTCTTGATCCTAAATATGCTTTCAAGTCTCCCCCATTACAATATTCTGTCACTATATATATATTGTTTGTGCTATGAAATACATCCAATAACTTCACAATATTCTAATGATTAAATGATTTCATTATCTCAACTTCTCTCTTTATTTGTTGAGATGTGTAATCACTCTTAATTAAATTATTACTTATAATTTTTATTGCCACAGCTATTTTTATCATATTTAACTACTTGAATCATTATAAATATCCCTCCCCATATACACATTAGCATAAGCACCTGAACCAATTTTAGAATCATATAGAAATTCGTAGTGCTTAACTCTCTTTTTTGATTTTATTCTCTCACTTTACATATTTGAATAAATTATTAAATTAAATACAAACTTTATTATTAACAGCACTCTATTTTTTAAAATATAGATTTTGATCATTAAACTAATCACAATTGTATAAATATTCAGAATTACTTTAGTATAAGTAATTTTTGGATTCATATTTAAATAAATAAATAAAAAATTCATAATAATTCTCTAATAGATGATATTTTAGTTTTAATTTTTAAACTAAATGAATTTAAGAATAAAATCATTTAGTTTTAATCAAAAATATATATTTTTTCATTAAATTATATAAGGAGACTATAATCTCTTAAGACTTTTAAATCTCTAATAATGGAATTAAATAAATTTATATTTATTTTATTATTTAAATGAATTTGAAATAGATATTAATCTACTTTTATTAATAAATCTATTATTTTCATTAATCAAATTTAAAGTAACAAATTAATTTATATTATTATTTTTTATAAATATTAATATATTAAGGCAATAATAATTATAATTATTTTTATTATAGTTGAAATATATCATTAACTTAAAAATGAAAATTCTCTGCTTGGCTATTGTACTGTTTATTTTAAGAAAGACCTTCTAATAAAAAAATATAGGATTAGAAGTGTAATTATCAAAATAAAAAATACTATTCCAAATTACATAATTTCTAGCATATATTTATTTTAATTTTAAATCTTATTAACCTATAAAATGATCTGTGCCTTAGATATCTTGTTTTCTGCAATTAAAATACATGTTTCATTTTTAATTTAATCCTCCATAATACTAATTCTATAACCTATCTACATAATTGTAAAACTATTAATATCGTCTTACTAAATAATGTAATGAGTAGTATTATATGAATATAATTTATTTATGTTACCTGAATAATAAAATGAAAAATCATGAATCTATTTTGTTAATCGAAAATCAAAAATAAAATTATTCTACCCTTCATACAAAATTAAATAGTTTTCATCTATAAAATGTAAATAAAAAATCTAGTTATATGGATGTCTTGCTATTTTAAAAAAAGTATAATTTATATTACCATTATCTTAATCAATCTAAATAAATTGAAGGATAGAGAAATCTTCTAATATTATTAGACATTTGATATTTAGAGTTTAATTATTTAAAAATGCTGATAAAGGATATATATTTTTCTATTATTATTTATTATCATTAATATAGTTGACATATTAAGATAAATCTTCTTGTATTTTATTGAAATCAAATATAAATTAATGAATAATATCTAATTCCATTTAAAGAATTTTAATAGTATTAATTGTAAGAAAATTATAAGAATTATCAAATTTTAATTATAAATACATTTAATTTGAATTTTAAATGAGGAATAAATTTTCAACTCCATTTTTATTTGATAATTCATAAATATTACCATTTTAAACATAAAAGATAATATCTTTAAGATTGTTTCTAGTTTAAAATAGATTCCCTATTTATATAATATCTTAATGATCATAAGCATCATTAATAATAAATTCATTTGAATCCTATATTAAAGATAAATCATCTTGGTTTATCCTAAAAATTTAAGCTTTTATTATTCCTTCAATAAAGTATATGAACATAATTTAATAATTGTTAATATAAAAGCCTTTTAAAATTCGTCCAAATTTACTAATTATTAAATATTCATCTTAAACTGATATTTTTATTATTTGTTTATAGTTAGAGAATGATTAAATAGTTGTTAAATTAACTTTAACCTTAAATTACTCTATGATATAGGTTTCAATCTATAATTCATTTTGGATTTGAGATATTATGAAAGGACCTTCTAAAAGTACATTTGAATTATCTTATATTTTTAGAATATCGATGGTTCCTTCAAATAGGTCATTTAAATCTATTATTTTATGATTATTCTTATCTAAGATAATAGAGAATTGATTATAAAGTGGTATCAATTTAGCACAATTAACAAAAATAGAAAGGTTTACATTAAATAGAACTTTAGAACTATTATTAGTTATGTAAAACATTAAGGTTTCATTTAATTTAACATTATTTTATTTTTTAAGTAAAGGTTTAAATTAGATATATAAATTATGTAAGTCTAATACTTAAATCTCATTATTTTTATTAAAATAATATAATTTTTTAAATGAAATAAAAGTATGATTCTAATTAATTTAAATAGTTTATTTCAATTTAAGTTGTTTAGTCTCTGAAACTGAAAAAATATGTGTATAAGATATATTTTTGGTTATAACTCCTATTGTAAAAAATTCTTAGACTTCTTAATAAGCTAATGGCTGTATTACTTTAGAATTAGGAAAAGTATACTTCTGCCACAATATTAAATCTATTAGATTAAAAAAGTATCTTATTAGCACATTTTCGTTTATATCTACAGCAATAATTTGATAGCCATCTTCTTGTAGATGATTTAATTATTTTATTTGTATAATTTATTATTATTTTAAATTGAAATGATAAAGATTACCATTCTTTAAAAAAATGAAATGTTCATAATACTGAATAATGTAAGAATTTCTATGTATATTGAAACAAAACTATTTAGGCTTATCATTTTAATTAATATTTGCTTAGTAAATATTTAACAAAAGATGGTTCAATATAATAGGCAATTGAACTTTAAGTTCCAAATTTAAATCAAATAATATTAAACTTTATGATTAGGTAAAAATTAATACATAATTGGAACAATGGAAAACTTCTTAAATAATACTGTCTAATTTATATTCCCTATAAATTGGTTCATCATATTAAATTTTAAGAAATCTAAAATAATCTACCTAATATTCTAGAAATAGAAAACGATCATAATAATTAAATACCTTTTAATTATGAATGTAAATTTGGATTAATTATTAGTTATCACAAAATAGAATATTCAAAAATTTTTCAGTTTAAAATATGGAATAAGCTTTATCATTTGAATTATAATATAAAAATTTAGAATTTTTAAGTAAGTTTTTAGGTATAAGACAAATTTAATCAAATGATTATTAATCACTAATAATGTCAATTAAATTTAAAAGGTCTTATTTTATTATAATTTTGTAATTATCTTGTAAATATGCTAATGTTTTTTATATAAACAATGTCTCAATATTTTAGCATTTACAATTTAATGAGAAAGAATAATTAATAATGTTATTTGATATTTCTTTGTTTATCAATTAAATACAAAAAGAAGGAGAATCGCTAATTAATTGTTAATAATAAGAATAAAATAGTAAATACTTTTTGGAAGGTCTTAAAATAGAATTATTCAATATTTTATATTTATAAAATCTAATGACCTTGTCTACTTAATCAATTTAATAAAAGATATTATTAATTTTCATAAATTGCAATGGAAAGTTCTTTAATTTGAGCTTTTCTTTGAATTTTTTATTTAAGATTACTTCAAGTTCATCTTCATATATTATAAAGAATATATTTTACTCAAAATAAACAAATTTTGGAGTATTTTCTAATTCATAATTGAGGACTTAATTTTGAATATAAAATTTATTATTATTATTGGACCCTACAAGAAAATATTGAATAAATTTGCAATCATTATTGAATAGTATCTATTTTAAAAAAGAGATTTCCTAAATAATGTTTAATAATAATCTGTTGTTTGTTTTATAAGAATAATGATAATACTAATTATCTTCAATTAATACAATATTTTCATAACAAATTTAAATATCTTTAACTAAAGTGATATTGAATAAAGGTTCATTTTAAGTTGCTATTTCTCTATTTAAAAGTAACTTAAGGAGATTATTTTTATAAATATATATAGCCCAAGAGACACAATCATAAAATATTAATAAACATGAATTTTCAATAAATTATGTATAAATTATTTTACATTTTTTATTTAGAGGTTCTTCAATTTTGTAATCTTATTTAGTAATAGTCAAGTTGTTTGTATTTATAAAGTATATATTAAGACTTTTTAAGGAAGTGCAAAAGACAGATAATTCTAAAAGGTTATTTTAGAATAAGAATTCACAATTTTCATCTATTTAAGTGTAAATGGGTATTTTAAAACGTTCAATAAAAGGGTAAAATTATTATTGACTTTAGCCTTCTTTTTCTTGTTCTCCTATATTCTAAAATAATCCTTCATTGAAAATACAAGTAATATAATAAACTTATAATTTATAAAGATAACAAAGTTGTTTTTCTAATAAGAATTCATTTAACCAAGAATCAATTATTATTGTATTAATAATTTGAGCCTCTTGATTATATTAAACTTTGTATAATTATTGAGTTAAAGGAAATTGATTTTCTTTAATATTAGAATGATCATCAGAATCATTTTCAACTATAAAATTTTTACTTTAACTAGAATAAATGTATTCATCAGATTCAATAAAAGTAATGTTGCATTCTAATGAATTTAATATGGGGAAAATAAAAAACAAAATAAATTGTCTTAGGTAGAGATCTTACAGCATTGAAATCCAGATTAGTTGTATAAAAACAAAATATAATTTAATATAATAAATGCACATAAAATTCCATAAAATAATTCAATCTAATTTTATATTATAAATTATTGAATAATAATTATATAAAATTAATTAAATATCTATTATTATATTAATTAACAATAATAAGAAATTATAAATATCGTTAATAATTATATAATCATCTCAGGTCTTGATAGTTATTTTTTAAAAGTAATATCGATTCTTTGGTATATGCGCTTATTAGAGTATTACTTTAATGATATTTCTAATAATATCGATTGGATTTAAATAATTATTTTTTATAAAATATTAGTTTAATTTATAATTAGATTTTCATTTATGATGATATAGCAATTAGAACTGTAATTTTTATTATGAAAATTACCTATAAATCTATTTAAATTACTAAAATTATCTATTAGACATAAGTATTAATATAAATAACTGTCAATATGATAATTTAATAAAAAATTATAGTAACAAAGATTTGATATTTAATATTTAATATTTTGTCAATTTAACTAATGAATATCTAAATGTACTTGATACTTCTTATGATTGCCTCATCAATTTATATGAGATAAATAAGTGAATATTGTGTTTGTAGACATGTTGACAATAAAGATGAATGTTAAAGATCTTAGATTTGTATTTGGAATGGAGAAAAATGTGATTTAAGATCAGGTGAAACTTACATTTACTAGGTGAACTAGGATGATGCAGATTAGTGTTATAAGTATATATAGGAAGATTGTATATAAATGGAGATATGTGGATTTTATTTAGGAGAATGTATAGGGTTTACAGAGTGTGGTTTATTTTAAAAAAATTAATGTTAGGAATCTTCATTGAAATGTGTTTCAGATGGATAAAAATGTATTGAGAAGAGAGGATGTAAGGATTATGACACAGAGGTAGGATGCCAGAATAAAAATATAAATGGTAACTATTGTTATTGGGATGTACATGCTATTTTTAAGTGCTAAGATGTAATGAAATGTACTTAACTGCCTCAGTATCTATTGAATGATTATGATTGTAGAAATGCTATGTATTATTGTACAGTAAATGATCTAGGATTGGGATGTGAGGAGGGAAAAAATAAATGCGAAGAATACAAATTGCAAAATTAATGTTATTTTACATATAATAAAAAAATTGAATGTTTTTGGGATGTTGAGTTATAAATGTGTTTTACAAAGAATTGTGAAAATAAAAGATTAAAAACTTATGAAGAATGTAATTCTTATATGTCTTAATGTACTACAAATGGTATTCATTGTATTGAGAAATAAGAGTGTAAAAATATTGGAAATGCAATAGGATGTGTTTTGGATATTAATAATAAAAAATGTGTTTATTTTAATGGGTAATGTTAAATTAAGAGTTGTATAACAGCACCTTAATCATATAATAATTATTAATAATGTTAATCATATGATTAATTATTAGATTGTGTAAGTGCATAAAATGGAGGATGTAAAGATAGACCATTATAATGTTAAGATTATTATTAAGAAATTGATTGTTATTCAGTAAGTACATAAGATTGTGTTTGGTTTGAAAATAAATGTGATAAGAGATAATGTTTGCATGCTCCAAAGAATTTTGATCATTATTAATGTAAATAATATGGAAAATGTATGGGAATACTATAAGGTGGTTGTGAATTAAGACCTTAAACTTGTGAAGAGATCATAAAATAAGAATTTTGTGATATTACATATGATGAATCTAAATGTATATGGGAGGATAATTAATGTTAATAATTGATATGTTCTAATTTGAAATTACCAAAATATGATAGTCATTAAAAATGTAAACAAGCAAGCAAACTTTGTACATTTAGCATAGAGGTTGGTGGATGTATTGATTATATTTGTAAAAGTGTTGTTGATATTTCTGCTTGTACTATTGATTCTCTTGATTAATTATGTAATTTAAATGATGGATGCATTGTAAAAAGATGTAAATTAGCTCCTAGTTATTATGATACAAATGCTTAATGTGAACTATGGTTACCAACATGTACTGTTAATATCTATGAATTTGATGGTCTTAAGATAAAATTTGGATGTACTGATAAACCATTAGAATGTTCAATAGCATAATAAGAATAATGTTATTCAACTTATTTTGGCGTTTAATGTAAATGGCAATTAAATAAATGTTCAAATTAATAATGTATTGATGCAGATAATACACATGTAACAAATGAAGATTGTACTAATTTTAAAGTTGAAACAATATAATGTATTATTAATAGTACTAATAATGGATGTATTGATTGGCCTATTTCATGTTCATAAATGGTTACAGAAACTTAATGCAATATTGGTTTAAAGGATTCTACTATTTGTATATGGAGTTCCAATTCATGTCGTTAAGTCGATTGTGTAGATGCACCTTTATATATTAATAATCTTCAATGTAATAATTATTTAAATAATTGCATTGTAAAACCCTCATTCTAAGGATGTATGATTAGACCATCCAATTTGATATGTTCATAATCTCCAAATACTAAAATGTATGATACTCATTAAGAATGTCAAGCTTGGAATCCAAATTGCACAGTCTCAGATTATCTTACCTCTGTAGGTTGTTAATAAAAATCAGCTTCATGTTCAGTTTATACTACTAAAAATTAATGTAAAATAATATTAGATAATTCATATCCCAATCCCAATCCATAATCCTATTGTTTTTGGGATTATATTACATCTACATGTCAAAGTGCATATTAGAATTCTTCATATCAATGTAATAGACAATCTTTTGGTGAATTAACTCATAAAAATTGTGAAGACTTTATGAAAATATGCACAATAAATAATAATATTACTAAATCATGCGTATCTCTTTAGGATGATTGCATTAACTATACAATACCATAAGCATGTGTATTAAATAAGTATTAATAGCCTTGTATTTGGGATAAATCCTAAAATAAGTGTCAAAATGTATTGTGTTCTGAAAATACTGTCGCTTAAACTGAGGCAGAATGTTTTAAATATCAAAGACAATATCTGTGTTAATTAATCTATAATAAAGAGGGTATAGCTCAAAAAGGTTGTGAAGACCGTCCTACAAACTGTTCTGATATAAAATATTAGAAGATTTGTAATAAAACAGTAACAAAACTCAATTAGAAATGTTATTATTATAACAATAAATGCAATATAATAAATAATGCAAGCTAATGTTAATTAATCACTGAAGCCTCCAGTGACGAGGAATGTCAATATTATTTTTCATTATGTTTATTATAATAGAGTGGTAAAGGTTGTTATAGTGTAGATGAATGTAAGAATCTAAAAAATTTTAATTGTAATTCTAGTATTCTATTCAAAAATAATAAGTGTTTTTATTATGGTAATGAATGCAGATAAAATCTATTTTGTGATTAACTCTTTCCATCTTAAAGTAGTTGTAATGATGTGAAAACAAGTCTTAATATATTATGTAGCTATTAATATGTTGGATCTGAACTTAAATGTGTAGATTAAGAATGTGCTTTAAATAATATTATAGGCAGTATAGTAGATAAATATTCAGCATGTTATAATTATTCCTCAATATGTGCATATGATATAACTACTGATTCAACAACAAAATCTTGTATGCCAATTATTAATTGTAATGATCTAACCTAATAAGGATTAATCAATTATCTATTATGCAATAATTCATTAACCATATCTAAATAAAAATGTGGATTCAATTTTGTTATTAATTAATGTGAGAATAGATAATGTGAACATTTAAAATTTGCAAATGTTGGACTTTTAAGTGATGAAGATTGTTATAATTGGAATCATGATTGTATTTTTGATGGTACTAATTGTAAACTCTTTAATAATATAGATTGTACTTAAATAAAGTTAAAACATTAATGTATATAATATTCATAATGTAAATTAAATTAAAATAATTGTATTAGCAATATAGATTGTGAAATTAATACAATTGCAATTACAATGTATGAATGCTAATTAATTAATATAATATGTTAATTAGATTTTATTACCAACTAAGGTTGTAAATATGTGCAATGTGAATATATTACAAATCCATCTTAATGTGATTCTGCTCACACTAGTGATGGAATGGATTGTTATTGGAGCAGTTCTTGTATTCCTAAATCATGTACTGCATTCACAAATTCTTCTATTTGCCAATCTAAATATGGACTCTTAGTTGTTAATTCAAACAATATCAGTGTAAAGTGTTATTGGTGTAGTGGATCTTGTTCATATAATAATACATGTAATGCCACAATAGATTTAGGACTTGTTAAACATGAAGATTGTTATAATTAAAATATTCTTAATACTATTACCTATTCTAATGGTCCAATATGTATTTAAAAACAAAGTAGTTGTGCAGCTTATGCACTTTAGGCTTTTTGTGTAAAAACAATAGATGGTTAAAAATGTGCTTGGAGTTCTGGAAGTTGTAAGGATTATTGTATGTCTATATCAACTTCACCTTTAAGTCATGTAGATTGTCATACTTTCGATAATAATTGTATGAAGAATGGAACTACATGTGTACTTCTTAATTGTTCCTCTTTAAATGTTACAGATTGTTTAATATATTCAAATATTTGTACTGAAAATTCCTCAAATTAGTGTGTTAAGATTACTAATTGTAATGTATACAATTCTACTAATTGTAGTACAGGTTAAGATTTTTAAGGATATCCTTGTGAATATGTTAGTGGAACTTGTTAAAAATAGAGTAATCTTGAAAATTGTTCATCATTAACTAATCAGGATGATCATTAATCATGTGAATCATATTTTTAAAGTGGAATATGTACTGTCAAAAGTAAAAACACCAATTGCACAAATTTACCAATTAATTGTAGTTAAGCAGCTAAAAAGTAATGTGTAATTGACTAGAATAAAAATAGATGTTATTGGAAATAAACAAATGAATGTATTTTGTTAGTAAATTGTTTAGATTTAGGAAATGAAAATGATTCACATTATAAGTGTTAATCTTATTTGTCATAATGTACTGTAAATTCATTATTGAATGGTTGTATTGATTTAATTGATTGTAACTTATATACAATTAAAGAATAATGTTATAAAGATAATTAAAAAAGAGATTGTGAATGGATTCAATTATAGAATAAATGTGAATTGAAATCATGCAGTACAGCATAATTATAGTAATATTCATCAGGAGCATGTCAATAATATTATGGTTTAAAATGTTCAGTAAATGCTGATTTGACATAATGTGAAATAGCATAAGGTCAATGTCTTGGTTATAATCAATAATAATGTAAAAGTGATGGACAACGTAATTTTGATGGTATTGAATGTTTTTGGAATGTTGAAAAAGGTGAATGTGTAGAAAAGACATGTGAAAATGGTCCAAAATTTGCTTTATCTGATAAGGAATGTTAAGGATACATGTAGAATTGTTAAAAAGGAGGATGTAGATTAAAAGTTTGCACTGATTATTATTATGCTATTGAATCTGCTTGTGCTTCTATATTCTCAGACAAAAGTTGTACTACAAATGGTTATTAATGTATAAATAGAAATACTTGTGAAGAAGTATTAATTAAAGATGGATGTACATTTAATAAATTTTATAATGATTGTGTGTGGATTTCAAATACCTGTGTTACCAAAACATGTAATACTGCTGCAATTAATTTAATTACTCATAAAGAATGTCAAGAATATTTACCATAATGTACTACTAAGAAAGGTGGAGGATGTGTATTAATTAATGAATGTACAGATTTCTAAATTAAAGATGCTTGTTAAAGTGATAAGTATAATTAAGGATGCATTTGGGATGATTAATTAGAATTATGTTTTACAGATATTTGTGAAGGATTTTGTGGAGATGGAATCATTACTAATTCATCTGAAGCCTGTGATGATGGTAATTATCTTCCATATGATGGATGTTATAAATGTTAAATCTAATGTTCATTAGGTTGTTTATAATGTGAAGGTAAATTATGTAATGTATGTGATTCATATGGATGGAAATTAGTTGATGGTTAATGTAAATCAGTTTGTGGTGATGGTATTATATTAGGCAAAGAATATTGTGATGATGGTAATCTTATAGAATTTGATGGTTGTTATAATTGTGAGTATTCATGTGATAGTCATTGTTTAAAATGTTTTTAAGGTACATGTATTTAATGTCCTATTGGATTATATGAAAATTAATCATATTGTCTAAATAAATGTGGAGATGGTATTTTAGCTACATAATATGAATAATGTGAAGATGCTAATACTGATAATAATGATGGTTGTAATTATAATTGTTAAATTGAAAAATTTTGGAAGTGTTATCTTGTAGATTCATTGAGTGTTTGTATTTACAATATAAGTCCATCCATCAAATTAACAACTCCTCTTAATAGTTATGGTTAAAATTAAGAAGTTATTCTCTCATTTAGTGAAGAAGTCAAATTAAATTCAACTTCCATCACTGAAGAAATATTTATATAACTCATTAATATTTCCATCTCTAATCTCAAAGATACTGATTATACTTATGAAATAGTTCCAATCTTAAGTGTTGATTATACTTTGTAGCCAGTCTCATACAAAATTAAACTCAATTTCTATAAATCTGTTATTGGACCAATATTAATAGTTAACATAAATTGTGATCAACTAGTTAATTAATATGAAAATCAATTGGCATCTAATTAATAAACTATCCTTTTAAAGGATCCATTTACACTATCTTCAACTCAAAAGATGGTAGCTGCTAATGCTGCCTTATTCAATGAATTTGTGATCTATTCATTGATTTCTATTGCTTGTTTTGCTTTCATAAGTGGAAATCTAGAAATTTTCTGGAATCTTATAGATACTTTATAACAATTATCATATATGAAATATTTGAATTTACAATTTCCATAAAATTTATCAATTTACTTTGAAGTCTTTACTCTTGTTACCATTTAACCCATAACTGATAAAATTAAATTGAGTGGATTCTTTGAAGAAATGTTTCAATTCACTTCTCCTTACATACCTGCTTATGGTAGATTTGAAGTCTTTTCAATCAATTGTTATTTTGGAATAAATCTATAGTCATTCGTAATTATACTAATCTTAGGATTCATCAATTATATTATCGCTTACTTAATATAATTGTTACTTACTTCATTCAAATATTATAATTGGCCCATTATAGTTGATTAAAGATACTTAGAATAGACTACAAAAATAATCAAAGCTATATATTTTGTTCAAAGAATTTGTAAATCATATTATCAATATTTTTTATATTCTGGAATAGTTAGAATTTACCTATCTAATTTTTATGATTTAATGTTCTCTGCACTTCTATAAGTAGCTAATTTCTAATCATATGATTCAATAACTGAAATTAGTTCATTTCTTGCATTAAGCATACTCATTTTGAATTTTGCTTTTATATTCCAAATGTATTCCTACTTGAGCACAAGAAAGACATTGTCGAAAAGATTTTCAATTTTTTTTGAAGGACTTGAAATCAAAGAGAATTTATGGAATAAATAATTCACAACAATAGTCTTAATTAAAAAGACTATTTTTATTGCTAATTTAATCCTAATCTAAACAATTCCTCCTGTTTAACCAATCTTAACCTCTCTGATTTCAGGATTTTATTCCATCTATGTATATAGGATGAGACCATTTGCAAATAAATTTGAAAATTATAAAATTATTGTCACAGAATGTTTAATAGCAATTATTGCTATTTTATTTTCAGTTTCAGAATCAATGTTACTATTCTCTTATATAGACTATGTATCCTTCTTAGGATGGATGGAAATAGCAGGATTTTCAATTATCCTTTTGAATTCTTTACTTATAGATTTCTATTAGTAACTAGGAAAACCAACTAGATAAATATATGAAATACTAAAGAAATGTGGTAATAAAACTACATTAGATAATTCTAATTCAACTATACTCAAAGAAGGAGTAATTGAATTTTTTTGATATTTGTATACATATATGATGTAGATCAACTTTATTAAGTTAATCTATATATTTAATATAATTACTATTAATACTTTGATATAATTAATTATTTTTATTAAAAAAAATAGTTTATGTTATTCTATCCAAGAGTACTTAATAAATATTGTATCAAACTAGTTTCATATACTTTCTTTGTTCTATATTGACATATCAAAACTCAATTGAATTAATTCTAAACTAAAGTATTTAATATTAGATTAGGTTGTTATTAATAAATGTGTTTATAAATAAAATGAAAGAAATTTAATTTTAGAAATTAAAAAGCTATAATATAAATCAAGCAATTAGTTTTTATTATATAAATATATTACAATAATCATTATCTTATTGTTCAATTTAAATATTCAATTTTATATAATAATACTTTAAAACAAGGAAAATAAATTTATATGTGATTTAACTTAATTATTTTTAAAAATTAGGGTCTTAAAACATCAATATAAATAAAAAATTTAGATACAAAAAAAAAATCAATTTGGATCAATATTGTAATCTTTTTAAATACAAATTAACTATTTTTTAAGTTTTAAACTCAATAAAAAAACCAAGAAAAACAATTAATATTATTTAAAAATTTATTATGAATTTAAGAGGAGGAGGTTGCGGATCATCAAACATTGTTACACCATTCCCCATTAAAATCTAGACCATTAAAAATAGCCCAGGATTGACAACTTAAATCAAGTTTCATTGTGATAGGATATCAAGATCTATGGTGACGGTTTTAGATTAAGAAAATAATCTAATGAATAGCTTTCAATTCTTTCAATTAAATTAGAGACAAATATGGAATTTAGTTAGTAATGTTCAATTAAATTAATCAACATTTGAACTTGTGTCATAAAGTTTAGATACACTAATGTCAGCATTATAAAAAGTTATTTAATAAAATGTTGGATATTCATTGTATGTTTTATAAATTATGACTTAATTATCTTGGATATTATTTATGTACTATTCAACAAATTAAGAGAGATATTTGGATATTGATAGACAATAATTTATTTTAAGGGAAATGGGTTTAATTAGAGAATAATTGAAAATTGAAAGAAGTGCTGATAAATTATTCAATAATCTATATTTTGAATTCTTTATTACAAAATCCATTATTACTATTTAACCTACAAATGCAAAAGAGAGTTAAGAAATATTAATATAGTTTTTAAGTGGTGCTTTAAAATCAGTAAGTACATTTACATTAAATGATGATCTAATATAAAGTCTTAAAAAAAGTGTTATTTATATATATTAAGAGGGAGTAAAATATAGTAGAAAACGTAAATTAGAAGTGATTTTTGCTCTTTAATAATTAAAGTTTCATATAATTGATGAATTAGAAAATGGTAAGGATGCTAAATATTTGGCAACTGTTCTAAGCAAAATGTATTGTGAAATTATTAGGGAATCTACAGATTGGGAAATATGGTGTAGTTGGATTTAGGTGTTATCTTAATTATTTTAATTGAAATAAGCAGTAGATGAATTGAAAATTTAAAATCAATTGTCATAATACTTTTAAGGAAAAGAATATACAATACCTAATTTTGATGGTAGAAATTATGTTTCACTAAGTAATTTCTAGATATAAAATGATGAATTATTAAAATTAATTTTTGAAAGTAGTTAACCCTTATAAGAATTATCTCGATTATAATTTTATATACTAAATGGATATGGATTATTATAAAGTTATGAACAATTTTATTTTAATAAATTATCTGTTATTAAAGCAACTAATTCAACATTAAAAAATAACTCATTTAGTTCATCTCAAATATCTTAATTTATGAATTTGGTTAGTGCTATCTAATAAGGTTAATAATCATTAATTGAGCTATTTAAATAACTTGTAAATAATAATGATTAATAAAAAATAAAAGAAGCTGAAGAATTATTGAAAGATTTGATTACTAAAACTATTTAATTAAAAAGAGATTTAGAATTTTTAATTATAATCTAATAATCTATATAAGAAGAAGTAAATTAAAATGAATTGATTTATGAATTTCCAGAAACTGACAAAATTTAAGTTATGTTTTTATAGAAATATTTGAATTGTTAATTATCAAGTAAATAGCTATAAATAATTGATTTTGAATCAGTATTTTAAGACAGTGCTATATCTTCAATTTTAGATTAATTTACTTCAGATGAAATAAGTATTGAATTAAGGGAACAAATATTAAAAAAAACAATTAATCAAGTATAAATTGAGAATTTGATTGTTACTTTAAAAATGAAAAAATAATAAGAAACTACTAAAAATAATACAAATGAGAATAAATGGTTTTATGGATTTTATAAAGCACTTGAACTTACATAAAAAACTAAATGTTTAATTAATTGGAATTTGCAAATTTAAGTGATATTATCAATTAAATTAAGAATGACTAATTCATTTAAAGAAGATGATAAATAATTAAATTTAAAATAAGAAATCATTTAACTTTCAATGTAAATGATGTCTTATGATCCTCTATAATCTTCATTATAATTTATGTACAATCAATTCTTAAAATGCTAAAGTAGTAAAATCTTATCTAAAATTCCTATTGATTATTCACATAAATTTGTAAAAATTTTAAAAGCCATTACAATTGAAAAATTTATAACAATTAATTAAATCATAGGAATTTTAACTAAACATTTATTTAAAGAGACAAAATTAAAAAATGATGTTAGTATTGATTAAGAAATCTGTAAAATTGTTTAAGAAGAATTAACTGATAATATAAATTATTTAAATTAAATCTGTAATGGAATCAAAATGATAACTGATATTCTAAAAAACTAATTAGATAATAATTTAGAATAAAAAGATGATTTAATTATATTGAAGGATTAATCTATATTCCATGAAATTTTTCCTAATTTCAATACTAATTCATTATTATAATCTTAGATTATATTGAGTTTTTAAAAACTTTCAGCTTATTAAGATGAATTTTTAAAATCATTTGAAATTATGAAAGAATACATCAAAAGTGAAGATAATGAATTTTATTTATATTTAGAAAATAAGAAGGCTGCAATTTCAAATATTATAGAATTGATTGATATTGTAAAATTGATGAAAATAACAAATGAAAAAGATAAAGAAATTGCATATTATCTTTGTGAAGATATACAAAAATAATTAAGTGAGTGTTGTAAATTAATAAGAAGTACATCAGTTAAGATTGAATAGAAATAATTTGATTGGAATGAAGAAATCAAATTTTATGAATAATTAGTAGATGAAATGAAATAAATTAAAACCAGATAACAAGAGTAAATTTAATAATTTTAGAATATATTTATTAATTCTGAGAAAGTACAATCTCAAATCTTAAATGTGATTACTCTCTAAAAATTAGCTACTAAGAAACCTTAATTTTCTTAATAGTTTTAAGAATCTGAAATATTATTGCAGGAATCAATGGGTGAATATTGCAATTAAACTATAGAAATTGCAATAGACTATTCATAAGTTTAGTAGATCATTTCATAAAAGGAATTTAATTAATATCCTTCTGATTTAGAACCTTAAATCTATTTTATATTGAGTCAGATAGAAAATAAAGATGAGTAAAAAAAATCAAATGATTATTTTGATTTAATATAATAGGGGATTAATGATTTATTGTCAAATAATTAATGGAGGATTAGATAGTTTTTGGTTTATGAATTAATTTAAATGAGAAAAAGTTGTCTTTAACAAAATTGTATGTCTTTGAGTTCTGGATTATATATTAGATTTTAGGTTTATGAAACAGATAAGAGAATTAGATCATTATTTGATGATAAATCTATTTAATTATCTAATTAATTAATGGGTAAATATTGGCCAAGTCAAGAAACAATAATTTAAAATAGGTTAAAGGAGAAATTAAAAGATTTAAATGAATTAGCTTAATAAATATCTATTGAAACTTCAGAAAATTATAAATAGTAATTAAGAAAAGAATATTCTAAATTAGAAAAAGATATTTAATAAATGTTTGATAATGTTTCTCAAATATAAAATACACTTGGAATTACTATCATTTTTCTTTAAGATCTAAAATAAGATTTATTAAGAATAGAGAATTTTATTATTCAAATGTAAGAAACATTAGATTAAATAAGTAAAGACATAAAATATTTGAAGGGTAGAACCATCTATGAATTATTAGAATTAAGAATGAAAAAAATGTTATAATAAAGACTTGTATTCAATTCAGACAATGTTTACATACCTATTAAATCAAAAGAAAAATTGAGTGATTCATAATACACTACTGAAAAGACTAATCTATTTACAGAAGATATCTTTGGAGATGGAGAGATAAATGAATTTATTTGGAAATAATCTAAGGATAGTTTTTTAATACATGGTTAAGCTGGATCAGGTAAGAGTACAGCAGCTAGAAAAATAGAGGAATTTCTTTGGATGTTTTATTAAAAGAATAAAAAATAAAGTGATTATATTCCATTAATTCCAATTTTTGTATAATTACCTTAATTAAGAGATCCTGTATATTGTTGTATTGAAGAAACATTAAAATCTGATAATTATAGATTTAATGATAGATAGATATAAGAATTTTAAGAAGCTGTTGAATAACGTAAAATAAAATTAGTTATTATAATGGATAGTTATGATGAATTAAAATCAGATTATATAGGATTAAATTTAAATGTTTCAAATAAATTATCAAAATGGAGATGTTAAGCAGATAAAAATAAATTTCCAAAAATAATTACTACTTGTAGAACAGAAATATTTAATATTGCTGGTTATAATACATGGTTTTTATCAGAATCTAATTCACCATCATTTTACAAAGAAGTTAAATTATTAAAATTTAATCAAGAATAATAAAAATTATATATTGATTAATATACATTATTATGTGTTAAGAGAGATATTAGAGAATTTTATTTTAGTAATTATGGTACATAAGATTATTCTGAATATGAAACCTTTTTCACAGATCTAGTTAAATCATTAAATTTAGGGAAGATGAAATCTGAAACTATATTTATGCTCAATCCAAATGTAATATAATAAATCTTATTTAAATGTTCTAATTTTGTATCAAAAGACATGTAAAAAACTTTATCATAATTACTTGCAGAAATTTGGTCAAGTGCTTAATATTTAAAATTCATATAAATTATGAAATTAGATAAAGTAATAGAGACTCCTTTTATGGCAGAAATTGTTATGGCTGTTTTACCTTATATTGTTAGATAAAGATCAGAAATTAATAATGTAAAGAATAGATTTATTAAAAAATATATTTATTTTGCAAAAAGTGAGTATTAATTATTATAAGTTAGTTAATTAGAAAAATAAGCATTAGATGAATGGTAAACAATTATTCATGATTCAAATTTTATGAATGAATATTTATAAGAATTTTCAGAAATATAAGTAGATAAATTGATTACAAAATATTTTATATCTAATTAAAAGTTTTAAATCATTAAGAATTCATTAATGTTAGAACCATTATCAACATATGATTTTTATAGTTAATTTTTGGAACATTATTTTAAAAGATAAATTTATAAATTAAGAGAAGCTGGTGAATCAATAGATTATGAATAAATTGGTAATGAATTATGGAGATTTACTCATCATTTGGCTAATCAAATGACATTCAGAAATATGACTTAAGTTTATTTTTAACCTAGTGGATTAATATTTAAAAAATCAGAATCTGATTGGAAAGATGAATTCTTTGATGATTAATGTTAAGAAGGAGTATATAAAAGATTATTTAGAAAATGTATGCCTATAAAATAGAAAAATAGTATTTATTCTTTTAATCATAAATCAATATAAGAATTTTTAGTTGCTAAATGGTTTGTTGAATATTTATCTAATATTAAATTTCCAATTGATGAAAATTCAAAAAAATAATTATTTTAATATGAATTTTTTAAAACAATTTGGGAATATGAATATTTGAAAGGTTCAATGACATTTATATGTGATAAATTAAAGTATAATGAGGAATAAAAATAATAACTTTTAAATTTTATTTATCTTACAAGAACAGATGATAATTTCATTATAGCAGGTTCTAATAGTATGTTATTATTAAATGAAATGGATCATTCATTTATAGATATGGATTTAAGTAATATTAAAATAGCAGATGTTTCATTAAGTGGAGCAAACTTTTTTAATTGTGATTTTACAAATTCAAATTTTAAAGGAATTACACTATCTTCTGTTAATTTAAATTTATCTAAGATTGTTAATGCATAATGGATTGATATTTCATTGAATTAATTACCAAAAATTAATACTAATTTAGGTAATATTAAAGGATTAACTTATATTGAAAAAGAAAAACTTCTTCTTGCTTTTGATGATTAAAAACCAGAAATGAAATAATATGACATCTATAAAATTTAAGAAATTAATAAAATAAATATCAAAATAATACCTAAATATGCTATTTTATCAAATAATTAAAGATTAATGGCTTTATTAAATGAAAATGAAATTTTATTATATGATTTATTTGATATGAAAATAATTCAATTGATATAATATGGATAATGTTTTGATAAAGAAAGGACATGTTGTGTTTTTGGAGTTGATGATAAATCTTTGATTTTTGGAGGATATAATGGTGCACATGAATTGAAAATAACTATTGAATTAGTTGAAAGAAAAGCATAAAAAAAAGTAACTGATAAAGATAAGAAAAAGGGGAAATAATAAAATTAAAAATTAGAATAAGAAGATAAAGTTGAAATCATCTAATAATAAAAGGATTTGGTTGTTACCATAGATTCATTTAAATAATTAATCAATGAATAAATTGTTAATCTTAGATGTTGTAAAATGATAATTATGTAAAGATAGTCAAAAACTATAATTTTATATAATTAACAAACCTAATCGATGAAATAAATTGAAACAAAATGTGAAAGAGTCATTTGTATAGATAGTAATTTAGAATTAAATCTTTTGGCAGTTGGTGGTAGAAAGGGAGAAATAAATCTTTATAATTTATCATAAATTGAATCACCTGTAAGTCTAAGTGGACATAAGAAAGCAATAGCAGAATTGAAATTTTCAGATGATGGTAAAATTCTAGTTTCATGTTCTTTTGATTAGTCTATAATATTATGGAGTACTTAATAATTATCATAAATTAATTAAGCCAATTTTACAGCTTTTATTAAAATATTCTCATTAACATTAATCTCTAATACTTACTTAGCTGTAACTGGATAAAATTAAGGGTAAATTTAAATTTGGGACTTGGATAGTTAAGATACATAAAATAGTAATCCATAAGGTCATATTTATACTGTTTAATGTTGTATATTTTCATTTGATGGAACATTATTGATATCTGGTTCTAGTGATTTGTTAATAAAAATTTGGAATACTTAAACTGGTCAATAGATTGGTTAAAATCTTGAAAAACATTAATTACCAATTAAGTGTTTAGCTATATCTCAAGATTCAAATCTATTATGTTCAGGAGGTGAAGATGGATATTTATATATTTGGGATTTGCAAAACTTTTAAATAAGAAATGAGATAAATCATTATGCTTCTCAAATATCTAAAGTTTCCATTTTTTATTCTGATGATTAATACAAAATAGTAACATTGACTGAAGAAAAGCTGATACATTTATGGAGTCTTAATAACTTATAGGAATTTATTCTTATATATGATTATAAAGATGAAAACAAAAGATTGATTTCAAATATTGAAACTAAGAAATTATTAGATTAATGTAGAGATTAATAGGTTAATGTTATTGAATCATATAATATAAGCAATTATTTAAAAATCTAAAATTAATATATAACAGCTTTAGCTATTAGTAATAATGGTTTATAGAAATTAATTGGTACTAGTGAAGGATATCTATTAGTTATAGAGAATAAAGAACTAATATTCAAGAATTAAGCACATAAGAAAAGTAAATGTGATATCATTTATGTATTAAATGACAATTTATTTATGACTTCAGGATAGAATTCTATAATATTTTGGAGATTTAGTGATTTCACTTAATATTCTAATTATCAAAGTAAATTCACAAAAATTAATGATTACTTTGTTTGGTACGATAACTTATTTATGGCTATAGATTATACAATTAGAATATGGAATATAAGTCAAAAATCAACTATAAAGGTGATTAAAGAAAAGAAAAAGGACCATATTCATTCTATTTGTATGAGAAATAATAATACTATATATGCAGGAACTCAAAATGGAAATCTACTTATAATTGACCTTTAAAAATCAGATTAATATTAAGTGATACCTGAAATCCATAATGGTAGAATTACTAAAATTGCATAGCTTAGTGCATAAAATGTATTTATTACAGCTGGACTTGATGGAATATTAAAATAATGGAAAGATGATAAACCAATCAGAGTTTTAGATACTGGATCAACTATAAATTCTTTTTATCTATCTAATGATCAAAACTATTTTGTTTTACATACATTTGAAGGATTAAGTATGTGGATATCAGAAGATCTAATTTTATCAGAAAAGATTGTAAATTTAAATGATAATTAATCAATTTTAGTTTTATTTAATTAGAGAAGGATTATTTGGTCTAAGGATGATCAATTATATTATATCCCTATATTGTAAAAAAAACTTAAATATTCTTATGCTTAAGAATCAAATAATCATTTTCCTACTACATTTTTGGTTGATGATAATAACACAATATATTCAGGAGATAAAGATGGTAAACTATGTTTTTGGAATTATAAAGGTGAAAAAACAAAAGACTTTTTAGATTTAAATCAACCAAACATTATTTGTTTAAGTTAATCTCCTGATAAATCTAAATTAGTTGTTGTTTTTAAAGAATTAATTAAAGTAATTTCAACAGAATCATTTGAAATAATCTATGAAAAGGATTTTAAAGACTTCTCCATTAATAGTCTCAATTATTTAAATGAAAAGACATTATTGATTACAACAAATTTAAAAGATAAATAAGTTATATTTTATGATGAAGAAGATAAATCAATTCTTATTTAAAACGAACATGATGAAGAAGTAAAAGGAGCAGCAGTTAATTTAAAAGCAAATTGTTATGTTTCTTATGGTGATGATAAATCCATTCGATATTATTAGAAATAGAATTCAATTTATTCTATGAAATATTCAATGTCATAAATATTAAAATTTGAATCATAGGATACAATTGTAGAGAATAGTACAATAATATCTAAAACAGGAATAGATTTATTATCATTATTTAAGAATTAAAGGATTGTAATGAATTGATAAACATTATTATATTAATATTAAATATGCAATAATATTATATAATAAATAATTTACTTTTATTAAAATATATTAATTATAAATATATCTATATATTATAATATAAGATTATTTATTTTATTAAAAATAATGATTTAGATAAAGGATAACACTATCAATCAACTAATATTCATAATATTTTCAATAATTTATAAAACTTTAATTAATATTAATTATTAAAATATATACTCTAATAAATTCTATGTATAAATTATTTTAGAATAATGAAATTCAATAATAAACTATAAGATTATTTATTTCCCAGAAAAATTAATTATATTTATTCTAAACTTATATATATTATATTTTTATTTTTCTTATTTTTTTATAAGAGAATTAACTATAACTTTTAATTACATTGATAACTATGAAGTTAGTAAAGTTAATGTTTATATTAATTCTTGTTTAACTAATTTATGAATAAATTATTAATTAAATGTAAAAATAATGTTATTGTGAATAACATAACATCTTAGATAGTTTTATTTGTTATGTTTGTCATAAGAATCATCATTGGCAATGTTATGATTATCAAATAACAGATAAATAACCATAATAACTTAGATGTCTTTAATGTTCTTTAACTGCAAATAATCCATTGATGTAATTTGAAGTAAATTTTCACTAAAAATATTAGACGTTCATTAAGTTAAACAATAAATTTAATGTTGCTATAATTAAGAAACCTACTTAATTACTAGAGAAAGTATTCTCATTTGAAGTGAATCAATATTATGAAGAACTTAAGAAAAAATCTATAATCCTTGCAATATTTTGTACTAAAACAAAAGAACCAAAAAAATTGTATGAATGGCCAAGTAAAAATGTATATGTTGAATTAAACAATTAACATCATATTGCATATCATTTAAATGATTATGGATATATGTATATCTAATTATAAAATATTATAATTTTAGACCATCAACTTGTTTATAATGGGGAGTAAATACATTAAAAGTAAAAATTGGTGAAGATGTAGAATGTAATTCTTTACTTGGTATTGTATTGGTTAAAAGTATTAAAATATCAGAATTAAAGAGTAAATTATTAGATGTTGGAAGAGAGAAAATAATAGACTCAATTATTACTTAATAAAAGTAATAATATTAAGATAAGATTAAGTCATTATCATGTATTATATTAATTTAAATTTTAGTAATTGATGATACTCTATAGGATACATTGTTTTCAGTAAAATTAATAGATGGAATTACTATGTAATAATTAGAAATTCCAGTAAGAGGAAAATAATGTTAACATTTTGATTGTTTTGAATTGAATGCTTATTTAACAATTAATGAAAAACCAAATGAAAATAGATGGAAATGTCCAATATGTAATTAACTTGTTCCATATGACTAATTATAAGTAGATTATGTATTGGTTGATATTTTACATGAAATCAAATGTGATCATCCAAAAATATTTCATAAATTATAAAGAGTTTAATTAAATCAATATTTGGAATATAAGATTGATGAAAAGTACATTGAAGAGGAAGTATAGATTAAGAGATATTTAATGAATACTTAAGCTTTATCATAAACTGTTAAAATTAATAATGTGATTTTGGAAAAGGCAGCTGATTCTGTAGTTAAATTTATATAAGAATTTCAAAGGAAAGACAATTATTCAAGTTCTCTTATAACATTTAAATCTGCTAGAAAGTTATTACAAAAATTTCATAAAAAAGAATTATTTAAAAATTTAGAAAATAATTAAATATAATTATCTAAATTTTTTATTGATATGTTTGATTTATCTAATTACTACAAAACCTTTATTTTTGAAGAATAAATAGAATTATAATATTATGAATCATTGTAAGATTTTGAATTAATTTGTAAAACTATCTATTAATAAACTGTAAGTGGATTATTTATTTATTTTATTAAATTATTTCATCCTACAGTATAAAGAATGACTCAATCAATGGCTATATTATGTACTTAATTAAATGTTAAACCTGCCTTAATTCATTCTAAAAAGATGCTTGAACTTATTTTAGCAACTACTTATGATAAATAATAAAAAACATCTTTAGGATACAATTTTAAATAAATATGTTGTATGAGTAAAATGAAAAGAGATGAATATTACAATAATGTTTTGTATTTATCATAAATGTTAAGTTTTGTATTTTATAATACTGAAACTAGTAGTTTCTTTATTGTAAGGAATTGTATAAATTTAAGCAATATTTTTGATTTATTTTATTTTTAAGATAAAGGAAAAGAAGATAATTAGATGGATGATTATTAATTAACTATAAAATTGATTAAAGAAGTTTATAGTTTGAAAATTATTAAGGAGAATCCAAATATATTAGATATATTAAGACTTATTTTATATTTATTAAATAAAAGTAAATATTATAATAAATAATAATAGGAGATCGCAAATTTGAAAACATTTTAGATTCATTCAAAGAATATAATTTAGGAGATGTAAAGAATAAATTTAAAAATATGGAATTTAATGGAGAATACTATTATTTATGATATATAAATACACATTGTTATAAATAAATCAAATAAACTTTTAACAATTTAGTTTTTAATAAGAAGTTTAAAGAAATTGAATATATTCTTATGGTATTGGTGATTCAAAATCTGTGATGGAAATATTATCATCAGATTATTCAATTTTTATTTAATAAATACTTTTAAGTGAAGGTTTAAAAGATGATGATTTCAAAAACATACCTTTTTTATCCATACTCTAACTCTTATATCGTCTATCCTTTAAATTTTTTTATGGTTTTTATTATTAAGATATTTAACTATTATTTTCAATAAATGAATTTTGACTATGTTAATAAAAAGATTTTAGAGTATTTTTTGATTACAAATGATTAAAACTTAAACCAACTGAACCCTCTACTATAGATTATGTTGAAGCAACTACATGAAAAGGGGAAAAGATCTAATGAACAGTTAATTAATTTAATAAATCCTAAACATTAATTCTATTTTCTGGTTATTTCTATAACATCGCTTTTAAAAGATGCATAGTCTTTTGACTAACATTAGGAAATCTCAATTCTGAAAAATCTATTTAACATTCCTTGTTTAATTTAAGTAAAGCATCATAAGTATTTGATCTAAATGGAGCCTTACCTGATAACATTGAATAGAATATAACTCCTAAACTAAATATATCCCCTACTTCTTGGTATGGTTATTTAATGAATACTTCTGGTGCAATATAACCAGCTGTTCCTTAACCATTAACTAATCTATCTCTACATATTTTTTCTGCAAATCCAAAATCAATTAATTTCAACTAATCCTTATCTATAAGTACATTCTCTAATTTAATATCTCTATGAACATATCCTAAACTTAATAAATAGATAAGTTATATTACTTATGTACTTATTATAATCCTAATGCCAACTTCTGTAAGATCTGAGTAGATTCAAGTTCTGTTAGTCGCTTTCTTTCTTTCAAATATTAATATAGAGACCCTCCTTTAATATATTCAGTCACTAAGACTAAAATGATATAACAATTACATTAATACTTAAGAGTTCATCCAATTGAATTATCTCACATAATTTTAGAACATAAGGAAAATTAATTCTTTTTAAAACATAACACTCATTTCGAATGAATTAATAAAATTTCTTTAAGTCTTTTTTAGATAATAATTCGTTTTTATTATAGACTTTACCTGCATAATTAAAGGACTGGTTAGGTAGTCTGATATTTGGAGTTAGAGTATAGACTTTGGAGAATCCACCCTTTCCAATGACATCTTGTAATGTGTATAACTAATCTAAATTTTGAACAAAACAGAATTAACATAAATGTTTTAGAAACTGAAAAGTATATTAACTAAAATTAAGAATGCACCTATAAAGTACAAATCTTTATTCCAAATATAGATGAAGATATCTTTAGTTCTCTTAATTCTGATTACTTTTACAGCATCTGTTTTCTTGCTTGAAATTTTTAGATCAATCAATTTCAGACTGATGTCTTCGTTTAATTCAACATATCCCTTAATCTTATTATTTTGCTTATAAAACAGCACACCTTCTTCACTTAATAAAAATTCATATTCAGTAGGCTTATTACTTTTCCAACTAATTCTGTTCATTAACTGTTGATAAATTATTGTATATTAAGTAAAATTAATAGATTTCTTGTTCCAGAATGTTTTGGTATCATCTTACTCTGTAAAAATTGGCCAATATTACTATTACTCTTCAGACATTATTTATAATTATTATAAATTAAATCAATTTTTTTTCATATTTCTATTTTTACTCAAATTTCATACTCTTCCTAATCCATAATATAGATATCCAATTGATTTCATTAAATCACCTGATAATAAATTTCTACCATCAAAACAATATGAAGGTTTAGCCATCTAATTAAAAGCTTAAACATAATCTATTTTAGAAAATCTATTATATATTAACATAACTATACTCTTCCCATTCTGTTATTATCACTATAGCAGATGCTCCTTAAAAAATACCATCCAAACTTTAACATTACTCCACATTATCTATTTTTCCTTGAGGATCATAAATTCTTAATATTGCCTATTCTTCTTGTAATTTTTTAATAATCATTAAAGCAGCACTCTCTCTTGTATCATTAGTCTTAGCTTTAAATGTTACCCCCAAAATAACAATTACTTTATTTCTCAAACAGTTAAACATGGATGTAATAATTAAGTTGATAAATCTTTGTTTTTGATATTCATTTAATATGTAAACTTATCTCCAGTATTATGCTACCTCATCTAATTAAAGGGACTCACACATATATATTAAACAAAGCAAATCTTTCTTGAAACATGATCCACCAAATCCGACAGATGTTTTCAAAAACTTATTACCAATTCTACTATCACTCCCAATACATTATGAAACTAATAAATATATAGAGTCTGATAACATTACTTTCATTGACATCTGCACCAATTTTATCACAGATAATTGATATACTATTAATTGAAGACACTCTTTAAGCAAGGAATGAATTTGCTACAATTTTACTTAATTCGGCTGAATATATATTTGTAAAAATTATTTTGTCCTTAGGTACCCACTATTCATACAATGATGCAAGCTACTAACTGGATTCTAATGGTCCACCAATAATAACTCTATCTGGATATAGAAGATCTTGGATTGCAGTCCCTTCAGCCAAAAATTCAGGATTTGACAAAACACAAATATTCAAATTCTTTAAAACTGCATTAATATAATCGCATGTTTTAATAGGAACAGTTGATTTTTCTACCAATATTAGTTTTCTTGTTAATGGATATTTCTTTATGGTTTGAAGACAACTATCAATATATGATATATCTAATTAAGATTCAGCTCCTAATCCATAACTTTTACTTGGAGTATTAACAGCTAAAAATACGATATCACAATCCTTTAAAGCTAGATCAATATCATTTGTGAATATTAAATTTTTGTCTATGGTTTTATTTATATATTCATTCAAGTTTTCCTCATAAATTGGATATTGTTTGGTATTCCATTTGTTTATTTACTATTCATTAATATCATAAACAACAAAAGTCTATTTTGGACATTTTGAGGCCATTACAGCCATTGTTGGTCCTCCTACATAACCTGCCCCAAAACAACTTACTTTCTATATTTACATCAATTTGAATTAGTATAATTTAAGAAAAATTTAATATATATATATATAAATTCAAATAATCTTAGGATTTGTTTTAAATTTAATTTATATTTAAATAGGATTATATATTAAAAACCCATCTTAATTTAAACCTCCAAAAATGAACAATTTATCTTCATTAAAAACACTACAATGTTCATATCTCAATGGGTATTCCAAATACCCTTGCAATTATACTTTCTACCAAGTATAATTCCTTAAAAATAATATATGTAAATCTCCAAAACATTAAACTTCATTAGTTCCACCAAATAATAATAATGCACTTATCTTTTCATAATAATTCATACTATGTGATCTTCTACTTTCAGGTTTTTAACCTTAAGTCTCCACAATCTATAATACTGAAGGATAAGTATCAATAATTAATTAATACAAATCATTATATAAATTATCTTCACTATCCTTTCCACCAAAAATATAAATGCCTTCTTTAGAAAATTATTGATCTACTTATTCTTCCTTTTTTGTATTCTAATTGAAATCATAATTAATTCTTAAATATGGATTACCTACTAAGGTTGCACTATGATAGGCTATTCCTAATTTAAAAGGATGATCATTTTATATTAGTTATTTTTAATAAAATTTTGGATAAATTTAAGTACTATGCATATTAGATAAATTGATTAATTAGAAATCATTATAATATTTAGTGTTAAAATCACTATCATCTATTCCTCCAATAATAATTAAATAATTATGAGTATAATTTCCACTATGATTTCTACGACATCCAATATTAGTATGAAATTATTACCATTCTAATCGATTTTCTTCTATACATATTTTAGTAATCATATTTGTAGTTTTTCTATTATTTGTATTTTTCTCTCCTCCAAAAGCATATATTGTTTTATTTTCATCTATATTCAAACTAAAATAACAACCCAATCTCAAATTAGGATTTAGAATCTATTTCTATTTCAATTACTCTATTTAAGAATAATAAAACTCCTGCTTCCTTTTCCATTAACCATTTATTAATGAAATAGCATGAATTTCAATATTTTCTCTATGTGAATGTCCTCCAAATACTAATCCATAGTTATCATACTTCACCACTCGACTGCCCTATCTTGAAATAGGAATTGTATATTATTAATCGTTTTAAGCAGGAAGCATCACTAATCCCTTTATTATTGTTTAATCTTAATCAGATAATCTATTTCTTATACTATCTTAAGCTAAGACATCTTATATTTTTTATTGTAACATATAATGATTGGATATAATTCTTTATTTGCTATTAAATACTTTATATGGTTCCTTTAAAATCTTTAAAGATAATTGTTCATATTTAGTTTTTTATTGTAAATGCATAGAAGCAGTATAATTTATCATTTACAATTTATTTTAAATCAATTATGGTAACTCCGTACTTAGAGTCTTTCTCTTTTATAAGTTATCCATTGAAGCATCAATATGATATTTCGGTACATTGATTGGTTCTCTATTTTATATTGAATATATTCTTCTTCTTTCCCGTTAATACATTATCTATATATTAAATAATTATGTATATAATAATATTTCATGTTTAAATTGACTTTAATGAAGAACTTTTGACCTCTGAAAAAATTTTATCCAAGGCTGCTGAATCACCTTAATAATTATTATTATTATTATTGCCACCTAAAATCATAGTTTTCGATTTTGCTCTACATAATAAATTAAAATCTGCTTTATCAAAATGTATTTATTGTTACTAAGTTTCATTTTTAGGTATCGTAATGAATTTATCATATAAATCACAACTTGGCTTGAAATCACCTTTAGCATATAGACCAAGATTATGTGTTTATTCTAATGGAGTCCGTCCAAAATGATATAATAAAAATAATTGTATTCTTGATAACTCATAAATAATATTTGTGTAAACTAATTTCTTTCTTGCTGATTATATTAATTCTTAACATGTTTCTTTATCTAATTTATTTTTTGATTACTTTAAATAACCATAATCAATAAAATAAAACTTTAAGACTTTATCTATAAAATTGCAATCCAAAATACGTTCATTATAATGTTATATTGCATATTGGATAATCATTAACATACTTATTATAGATCCAACTTAAGCTAGTATTTCTCCTAATTTTGGATAAACAATTTAAGTATCATAAGACATTGGATCTAATCGTATGAACAAATTGAAATATGATTATTAAACTAATAAAGTCTACCAAAAGTTTTTAGATGTTGCACTTGTAACTAGTTAAGCATTGTATACATAACTTTTAGAGTAGAATTTCCCAAAGAGAATTCCTGTATCAATTGTAGCCTTTGTTTATGTAAGAATCAATTAACCTTATTGTGCAATCTCATAATCAAATGACATGTAATACTATTTCTTCACTACTTCAAATGCTTGAGTATAAGGATCATATTATTTCAAATTCAACCAGAAACTTATATAATTAACTGATGACTTAAAGAAATCTTGAATCTCTTCTTCTGATGCACATTCATAACCTTCATTCATCAAAGTTTAATTACAAGATGTGATTACAATCATTAATTCTTTAGTAGCATTCAATTCTTTGTTGAAATTACTATTTTGAATTAATTATAAATTGTTAATACTCATGAGAGTAGTATTATATATAGATTGTTTTTAATTTTCTGTTAATAATGAAAAGGGTTTTTAGGGAATACCATCTATGAAATAAATTCCAACTGGAGTTAATATATTACGTTTCATTCTAAAAGGATCAATTTAAGATTGATCATATTTCCAATAACAAAATTCAAAAAGCTATTCATTATCAAATAATATTTATGAATAATTATCAACCTTCATAGTGCTAGATGATTTAGGTAATATATTGAAATTAATCCATTCATTCATAACATAAATCAAGTAACCAAAACCAACTAAGATTAAAATCAAGGAACTTATTCCACCAAGTACAGACTTTTAAACTTTTTCATCTAATGTGATCTATTGTCTATATGGTACTCCAAAGATATCAGCCATCTAAATGTATTTCATAGGATTATAACTTTTATAAATAATAAAGAACTATTTATTCACATATAATAATTATTTCATATATTTTATCTAATTTTTCTTTTACCAGTTGTCATAACCTAAAATTATATATATATAAAGTCTTACTTTCCTTGCATTCTCACTTTTATCAATTCTCATAAATTTAAGATAATTGTTTAATTTTTATTAATTTGTATGATCAAGTGTTTATTTAATTTATTCAATAATATTTGGATATCTATAATATAAACTTAAATTTTACTATGTTTTGAAATTCAATAGAGTGTTTCTAAAGAGTGTGAATTCATCAATATTTTATAAATCACTTTTAAGTAATTCAATTTATTATTTAGCCTATTGTCTTTCCTCTTCTTCTAAAATTTCCTCCTCTTCTTCATCATCATCCATCATATCATCACTATATAATTTATTATTAATTTACTCAAAATCTGTTTTATCTTTTTTTTCATCATTTTCTTAAATTTCTAAATTCCTAATAATTATTTATATTAATTCTGCATTTAATAATTAAGGAGTTGATTATATTAATTTACAAATTGTAATTATAAATAATTTAATATCATAACCTGCATGATATTGAGTTATCAAGACTTTTTAATACACATTTTAAAAAAGTTCACCTAATATTTAATATGATTATTATGGAATATAATAGAAAGCAACCAAAAATATAGCTGTAATTCTAGAACGAATAATTCCTGTAACATTCTCTTTACCAATTAATTAAAGTACTTATTAAAACACTTAAGCTAATATAGTTTAATTGATATCATTCTGTAATATTTAAATTCCTAATTAGATTAATAGTGCACCTTCAGCTAAATCAACATCTTCAAAAGCTTCTTCTTACATCAAACTTTAAAGACATAATTAAAAATAAATTTTTTATGCTTGTTCTTATAAGAAATAACTTCTTCCATAATACATATACATATTTAATGTTTCATACAAATATACAAATTTTCCAGATTGTTTGGTGATGATTTTAGAAAAGTAAGGTAAAATGTCTTTTTGAAATTGAGTAATTTATTAAATTTTTTAGATAACAGAAGTGATAAACAATATCAAATCTTCATCAAAATTCATTGGATTATCTTATATAACAAGTGATTCATAAATTGGTTACATAGCTTATTCAATTTTAAGAAGAAGAGGTGAAAATTCATTAATTGATGGTAATTATCTAATAAGATTCCAACATCTATTAAAATGAATATATCTAGTTGAATCATTATTATTCTTTATCAATTTTTCTTCTAATATTATTCTTTATACTAATATTTAAACTAAGTTGATTATATAAGTTTCATTTGCAATGAATATAGAAGGGAACTTTTTAAGTAGATTTCCAATCATCTCAAAATGTCTTTCATAAGTACTAAATGTCAAACCATTTATTAAAGATGGAAATACATTAACTACTAAATTTCCAGTTTTATGTTTCAATTCATCATCTTCAAAAATATCTTTTAATGCATCAATAGACTAATATAATACAACAGGTTCTTATGGTTTAGCATAAGTTATCAATAATTATATGTAATTTAACATAAGTGAAAATTAGGATTCTACTTTAAATAAATTATCACAATAATAACCAAAAAATAATGCAAATCTAACTTTTATTATTTATTCAGTTGTGTTAGTAAAGAATAAAAGATTTGATTATAACAATTATTCCATTAATTATATAAGATCCTATCTTTTTTAAACTAAATAACTTATAATAGTTAAAATCATCAAACTACTTTCTATTCTATCAACAGCAGTAAATTCTTAGAATAATTTTTTATCAGATATCTATTATATATCTGTTAATATGATTTGTTATTATTATTTACTTAATTAAGATTGTGACAATTCCAAAATGGCAGAAGATATTACAACTATAGCCATTTATGCTAAATAAGATGTTGATCCATCTATATGATCACATAAAGTTTCAAGTAAAGTTGTTGCTGCTGTTTTTGGTAAATCTGATTCTTATTTATCAACAACATCTAATGCAATATTGACAAATTCTTCTGGTTACTCTTTCATTAATTAATATTCATTTTTAGTAGTAATTAAAAATGGATAGATAATATCTGTAATCAAAAGACCTTTAGATTCTTGAAAATAATGATATAGTTCAGCTTATCCACCTAAATGTGCCAATAATCTGAGCATACTACTCAAAATACTTGGTAGAAATTGTTTCCTAATTATATCTTAGTAATTACTATAAAATATCTTGGATTTTTGCTTATCTTGTATATGCAAATATAGAATATAACAATAATTAATTCAAATTTGATTATTGATTATAAAATACACTATTCCTTTATTCATTTTTACTTTTGCTTAATAATAAATTCATTAATAATTAAAGACATTTTAATCCATACATTTTAATTTCATTTATTTTATTATCAAATTGTTCATTATTTGTACAAGAAATAATACAACTTTTTATTATATTATTTGAAGGTGAGTATTTAAAAATAGTAAATAAGGTTGATTAAAATGAAGCTAATTTAAACATCATATTTTAAAGTGGTATCAATGATTCTCTATTATGAGCCTTTTATTTAAATAATTTCTCACAATATTCATTTACAATTTATATGTAATATCTAATTGTGATTATATATTCTTCAGTTAAAATATCTAATTATTCATCCAATTACTTCAATAATGGTTATATTAAATCAAAAAAATCTTTTATCCAATCTAATCCTTAATTCAATATTAGATTATATTATGACAAATCTAAAGAATCAATCAATGTCTTAAAGAAAAATAATCCTGATTGTATTTCCCATATTTAATCACTTTTCACTAATTACTTCATTTTGTTTTCAATTTCTGGCTTAATCTCTAATCAATTTAATTATGAAGTGTTTTTACTTTTATTTAATTTAATCAATAAACTCATAGATTTTTACAATAATTGTTTGCACTTCAATGAAGTCTATTATGATATTATCACATCAAACATTAATTGAGCATGTTCCAATTATAATTCAACTAAAATAATAAGTGTAAATTTCATACTATTATTTTATAACATCTTTAAAACTACTGAATTTAACAAACTTGCTGCCTAATGTTACACTTATTTTATTTTATTTATTATATACTATTATCCTAACTCTTTGCTATCTAAGCTATCGATTAGAAATTTTATATATTCTCTATTACTCCACTTATCAACTTAGCTTCAGCCTATTGTCTAATTGCATTGTCTGTACTAGTGTATGCTAACACTAATAATTAATATAGTTCTTAAGACATTTCGTATAATTTAAATAATTTAAATAATCTTATTATTATTTATTTCCCATTAAAAACACAATTATATTATAATTAATTTCTATTATATATTCTTCATTCTGATTTCAAATTCTATCTAATTATACTATATTTCTCCAATGGAACATTGTAAAGCCTTTTGTACAACTTAATAGATTTTAGGGTGAATAACAATTAAGCTACCAAAGCAAAACATGCAAAACAATAATAATTTACATATTCAGTTAAGAACATACATAAAGAAAATCCAGTCTTACCACCCAATGATCCTAAACTGTTCATTAAAGCTAAGGTTGTAGCTTCATATCCTGGAGTTGTTATCTTCATTTAAAAGTTTCCCTATCAATATTCAAAATATACTTACTCTAACAATAAATGTCAAATTAAAAACTATCCACCATGTTGTACTTGCTATGAATAATGCAATATAACTTAAGGTATCATTTACTTTGACAACATCAACCAGAAAAACAGTCAATATTGCAAAGAGACATGAAATTAATCTGAATCCTTAAACATAACCATAATATTCAAAATTGTATTTACTAAAATATTTATGATAAACAAATCCAACACCTATTTTTAGAGGAATAATAGCTGTATCCATAAATGACACATAAGCCTTATTAAATTTTAATTCTGTCAATTTAATTCTAAATGTAGATTCAATTGGTGCTACTCCATATCTATCAAAGAATAAGAGTAAGGAAAGTGTGATCAAATTCTCATTTCCAAATATACCTTTGATGACTTGTCTGAATCCAGTAAGTTTTCTTATTAATTATGTATTTGGTTCTTCCTTTACTTTTAATAAAAGATAAGTTGCCATCAACAATCCAAATACAGAGATCATTTTCAAATATGTAGATAAGGAACATAATTAATATTTATTAAGAGAATGAAAAATGAAATTGGCCAAAAATGAACTACCTATAGTATAACCTACATTCAATATATGAGCAGAACTTTCATTACTCTTTTTACATAGATCTGCAGCAAATCCATCTATAGCTATATCTTGCATTCCTAAAAATGTTGCATTAAATAATCCTATAAGGCAAAAAAGGAGATAATTATGTTGAATATCTAGACTAGACTACCAGAACAAATTAAAAGACATTAATATTGTACATGGTAAAATATAACTATTTTCAATTAAAAAATGTACCTCCTTCTTCTACCCAAAGACTTAAAGTGAAATAGGTCTATGAAAGGGGCAAATATGATCTTGAAGAAAAATGGATAGGCCACCAAGGAGAATAGGCCTTACTACTCATAATTAAATCCATGTTCTGCAAGTAAAATAGGCATAATCTAAGTAAATATGGAAAGCATTGAACTTTAGTAAATGTACAGAAATAACAAAAGATAGTTCATTAATAAAATCAAATTTATTTTATTTATTTATTTAAATACCACTTTTGAATGGGCTACATGTACAAATTTCTGTAGATTTCTGAGTATCTAAAACAATAAAGTAAATGGATGATCCATCCAACACATAACAACCAATAATAATTTACATAATTGGCCATAATCAAATTTATTGAAAATGCCAACTTAACACCTAATTGACTGATGCTATTAAGTATAGTCAGAGTAGTGGCTTCGACTCCAGGAGTAGTTATTTTCATTTAGAAGTTACCCTTAAATTTAAATTAAATATCCAATACTCTAACAATGTATGTAATATTAAACATAATCCACCAACACATATTTGAAAAGAATATAGCAATATAACTAAATGGCCCATCCAATTCAAATTTATCAATCAATAATAATGTGATAATAGCAAAGAATGTAGAAATTAATCTCAAATATTGAATGTTTCCATAATATCTAAATATATTTAAATAAACTATAATACTTAAAATCATATTTATAAAAATATTAGTGATAGATTAATCCTGTTGCTATTTTCAATGGTAAAATTATTGTATCAATAAAAGAAATGTAAGTTTTGTTGATATTAAATTATATTAATTTCAATCTGAATGTTGCATCTAATGAAGACAATGCAGTTCTAATTATTAATCATATATTTACCTTTCAAAGAATATTAATAATGAATATGTGATCATATTTTCGTTTTTAAAAAATGATTTAATAACACTCAATAAGTCTTAAAAAGTAGTTGCTCTCTTTACTTCCTCCTCCTTCTCACACAAATTTAGATACAAGAAAATAGTCAATATTAATCCTACTATTGATAATATCATAAAGAATGTCTCAAGTGTGCAATTTTGTGAAGAATACAATGCAATAAATAAGAAATTTCCAAGAAACGAATTTCCTATTGTAAATCCAATATTTTATAATAATGCAGCACTTTCTCCTTATTACTTACATAAATCAGTTGCTAATCCATCTATTGCTATATCTTAAATTCCAAGAAATAAACACAAAATTAATCCTAAAATCCATAAAATGTAGTAATTTGTTAAAATGTCAATACTCGACAAATATAAAAGTATTACTGATAATAACAAATTTATTGGTAAAATATAGCTATACTCTATTAATTTTAACAATTACCTTTTTCGTTTGCCTAGGAATTAAAATTAATACAAGTCAATTATTGGTGCAAACAAAAACTTAAAATAAAATGGATAGCTGATCAATGAATACATACCTTATTATTCAAATGTATATCCCTTTTCTGCCAATAAAATTGGGATTATGATTGTAAATAATGATAATATTGTACTTTAATATATATAAAGCAATATTAATAAATAATTCATTTTATTATCATTTACTCGACAACTCATCATATATACTCAATAATATTGGATTTGCTTAGGTAAATACATTCCTAAACTATTAATTTTAGTTTATTGTTTTACATGAATTCAAAAGAAAAACAATCAAGATATTCAAATGAATTATCAATCATATAAAAATCTCTTTAATTAAATTCGTATTAATTAATATTTATCTTTTATATATTCGATCATCTAATTCTATTCTATATCTTCAGACATATTTTTAAACCCTATTAATTAAATAAACTATATATTCTTAAATTCTTTTATGAACCTTAGAAGATGCCTCAAAAATTTTCTGATCTAAAACTAATCTTTATCTAATTCTAAGGATTGTTTAAGACCTTTTTTTTATGAATGATGATTTCCTTTTTTTTCTTACAACATTAACACTTAAATAAAGGTATAGAATAGATTTTGGAAAATTTCTTTCTATTCAAATGTTATTAGAAACATTATTGAATATTATCCTATTTGTCTAATATATTAAACTATTTTGTTAAATACTTATAAAGAAATCAAATATCAAAAGTCTATTAAAATAAAAAATTATATTTACAAACAAATGAATCGCAAATTAAGAATAAATCTAGTGAAACCCATTCATTAAATTTATTAATTTCTTCCTCTATAAATATTTAAAAAAAATTTAAGATTATTTAAATTTTGATTGCATTTTTCAATTATGAAATTTGATCAAATAATCCAGATATTATAACCTCTATACTTATTAAATTGTATTTTCAAGTTCCAAACATCATATATTAAAAAGTAGATTGTCATATTGCTTTATAAACTAATATGTCTATTTTTCATTAAAATTATGTTTATTTTATTTATAATTTCAGAAATCACTTTTGGATGTTAGATTAATGGTTATGAATCAGGTGTATGTTCACAAAGAGTTTAAATATCTGATGGAGTAGAATTCTGTAATAATGAACTTGATGATTATGTTTGTGTTCCTGAAATTAGAGTAGTTTAAAACTAGATATTAGAAATTATGGCCAGACCATACTATTGAAAACAGAGACAAAGAAATTCGATTAGATTTCGTGGCCTATGTAAGAGACAGATTAGTTTAAGAAATTAATGGAGATGTAGAAAGCGTGTTAATAAAAGACGATACTTGTTATAAAGCATATAAACAATTCTTATGTAAATGGAATTTCCCACCTTGTGATGCAGCTACAAATTTGACAATTCCAATTTGTCAGAGCTCCTGTACTTCTTATTATGAAAATTGTGGATTGAATTTAACACCTTGTCTACAATATTTCTAGAAATTAGTATAATTAATCCAATTATTATTAAGAAACCAGGTTTAGATTAAAATTGCTGATATGTTTTATTTATAAATTTTTATTAATTTTTATGAAATCATTATCGGTATCTAAATACTATAACAATAATAGTTTATTGACTCCTGACAAACGATTGGTATCATTTGATATTATTACAGAGTAGATAAACTACTTAATCAACGTAAAAAAAAGATGCGCTTTCTGTTTAAAGTTATTTCTCTGAATAATCTTATCTAAAATCAGAGGCTTCGAAAAAGGAAATAATCAGATTGATTAAATCCACTGTAGACAGTATCCATAAAAATATCGATATCAAAGAGTTGAATATTATTTTGACCAAATTGCTTGCAGGATTGAGTTCTTGTATCAATGAGTAGGATATGTCCCTTATATTAATTTAACTTATACAATCAATCAAATAAATTATTCAGAATCAAAAAATCTATGAAAAGTAGGTATATGATTAAGAAAAGGCTTAATTGTTGATTAAATTATAACAATTAGAATAATAATCTAAAGAGAACTAATAGAAATTTGGTAATTCTGTTTTTTATTTTAGAAAATTAACTCAAAGAATTCGAAATACAACACAGAGTTTTATAATATTAAGATGAATTAAATCAAATTAAGAAGAGTTAAGGTAATAAAGATAATCTTAATGATCGCAATAAATTAAAAGACTAAATTAAGGAAATGTAATAAAAAATGCTAACATTATCAGAAAAGGAGCGTAAATTAATACAATTAGTGAAAGCAGTTAAATCTAGAGGAATAGATGTTGAAAAAATATATAAGAATTTAAATATATACAGCAGTAAAAATAGCAAGAGAACAAGTAAACAATCCAATTCGTAAGTTGAAGATATCTCAATTACAGAATCAAATCTGGCCGATATATCTTAATTAGATTATAGTGTTGGCAATATTAAAAGACATGCTAAATTTGTAGTTGATTGAATTAATTCTAATTCATAAATAAAAATTATTAATATTTTATCTTTAAAATCCATAAGAAGTATTTATTTCATTAATAAATACTTCTTATTTGATTTTCATAATACTTATTAAAAATATAAATGTATCATCAACTTACAATAACTATCAACTTTTAAATTAATTAAGTTTAAAATGATAATTAATTTAATAATTATTGATTAAAAATTTACAAAAATCCAATTTGATTTAAATAAGACTCATATTTATCTCAATCAATATGCACAATATTTTATTGGTTATTAGAATTTTTAATGTAAAGATTAATAAAATATTAAATTCAGGTAAAAATTGTAAAGATTTATTTGAATTAAATAAAAAAAGGACATTTAAACAAAAAAAATTATAAATGAAATTTATCAAATATAAAGATTTAGTATTGATATTAAATTCTTTATATTCCTGATGAAAAGAAAATAATTAAGAAATCAGAACAAAGGATATAAATTTAATGTGGTTTATAGTTTAAAGAAAAATAGACATTAAAATAATAATTATTTAAATATTAAAGGTTGAAATAGATTTAAAATAATGATACTATTCTAACTATATAAAAGAATAATCCAAATGCAGTTATTAAATATATTAAAAGATACTTTAGAAAAGAGTTGGCGAGGAAAAATTATTATGATGACTATAATATATATTATTTAAATAAAGGATCACATGAATCTTTGTTTTTCAATATAAACTTTTACTATATAATTTATTCTAATTAAGACTGTATTATTAAAGTTTACCAATTAAACTGATTATTTATGATAAATTATATTATTTTCATTGTACATGGTCGAGTAGCTCAGTTGGTTAGAGCGTTGGTCTTATGAGCCAACGGTCGCGGGTTCAATTCCCGCCCCGACCAATTTTTTATTTAATTAATTCTGCATCTTTTTTAATATAGCCACTCTAATTAATTGTAGTGTTGCATATGTAATTTCAAAAGCTAATATTCTATTGTATAAGAACAATATCCATTAATCTTTAAATTATAATTTAACTTAACATATATTTTAATAAAGGTCATTTTTCCCTTAATAATGCTTTAATTGTAATAAAGAAATAGGATTTCGAATTCAAATTCTTATAGTTCATTTTTATTATACATGGTCATGTAGCTCAGTCGGTTAGAGCGTCGGTCTTATGAGCCGAAAGTCGCAGGTTCGATTCCTGTCATGACCAATTTTTTATTTATCTATTTCTACATTTTTTTAATTATAGCCTCTATAATTATAATTAGATGAAATATTGAAAATCTATTTCTAATTTAGCTTAACATTTATTATAATAAAAGTCATTATTCCCTTACTAATGCTTTAATTGTAATGAAGAAATAGGATTTCGAATTCAAATTCTTATAGTTCATTTTTATTATACATGGTCATGTAGCTCAGTCGGTTAGAGCNTCATCAACTTACAATAACTATCAACTTTTAAATTAATTAAGTTTAAAATGATAATTAATTTAATAATTATTGATTAAAAATTTACAAAAATCCAATTTGATTTAAATAAGACTCATATTTATCTCAATCAATATGCACAATATTTTATTGGTTATTAGAATTTTTAATGTAAAGATTAATAAAATATTAAATTCAGGTAAAAATTGTAAAGATTTATTTGAATTAAATAAAAAAAGGACATTTAAACAAAAAAAATTATAAATGAAATTTATCAAATATAAAGATTTAGTATTGATATTAAATTCTTTATATTCCTGATGAAAAGAAAATAATTAAGAAATCAGAACAAAGGATATAAATTTAATGTGGTTTATAGTTTAAAGAAAAATAGACATTAAAATAATAATTATTTAAATATTAAAGGTTGAAATAGATTTAAAATAATGATACTATTCTAACTATATAAAAGAATAATCCAAATGCAGTTATTAAATATATTAAAAGATACTTTAGAAAAGAGTTGGCGAGGAAAAATTATTATGATGACTATAATATATATTATTTAAATAAAGGATCACATGAATCTTTGTTTTTCAATATAAACTTTTACTATATAATTTATTCTAATTAAGACTGTATTATTAAAGTTTACCAATTAAACTGATTATTTATGATAAATTATATTATTTTCATTGTACATGGTCGAGTAGCTCAGTTGGTTAGAGCGTTGGTCTTATGAGCCAACGGTCGCGGGTTCAATTCCCGCCCCGACCAATTTTTTATTTAATTAATTCTGCATCTTTTTTAATATAGCCACTCTAATTAATTGTAGTGTTGCATATGTAATTTCAAAAGCTAATATTCTATTGTATAAGAACAATATCCATTAATCTTTAAATTATAATTTAACTTAACATATATTTTAATAAAGGTCATTTTTCCCTTAATAATGCTTTAATTGTAATAAAGAAATAGGATTTCGAATTCAAATTCTTATAGTTCATTTTTATTATACATGGTCATGTAGCTCAGTCGGTTAGAGCGTCGGTCTTATGAGCCGAAAGTCGCAGGTTCGATTCCTGTCATGACCAATTTTTTATTTATCTATTTCTACATTTTTTTAATTATAGCCTCTATAATTATAATTAGATGAAATATTGAAAATCTATTTCTAATTTAGCTTAACATTTATTATAATAAAAGTCATTATTCCCTTACTAATGCTTTAATTGTAATGAAGAAATAGGATTTCGAATTCAAATTCTTATAGTTCATTTTTATTATACATGGTCATGTAGCTCAGTCGGTTAGAGCGTCGGTCTAATAAACCGAAGGTCACAGGTTCAAGTCCTGTCATGACCAATTTTTTATTTATCTATTTCTGCATTTTTTTAATTATAGCCTCTCTAATTCAATGATATATTGCAAATCTATTTCTAATTTAGCTTAACATTTATTATAATAAAAGTCATTATGCCCTTAATAATGCTTTAATTGTAATGAAGAAATAGGATTTCGAATTCAAATTCTTATAGTTCATTTTTATTATACATGGTCATGTAGCTCAGTCGGTTAGAGCGTCGGTCTAATAAACCGAAGGTCACAGGTTCAAGTCCTGTCATGACCAATTTTTCATTTATCTATTTCTGCATTTTTTTAATTATAGCCTCTCTAATTCAATGATATATTGCAAATCTATTTCTAATTTAGCTTAACATTTATTATAATAAAAGTCATTATGCCCTTAATAATGCTTTAATTGTAATGAAGAAATAGGATTTCGAATTCAAATTCTTATAGTTCATTTTTATTATACATGGTCATGTAGCTCAGTCGGTTAGAGCGTCGGTCTAATAAACCGAAGGTCACAGGTTCAAGTCCTGTCATGACCAATTTTTTATTTATCTATTTCTGCATTTTTTTAATTATAGCCTCTCTAATTCAATGATATATTGCAAATCTATTTCTAATTTAGCTTAACATTTATTATAATAAAAGTCATTATGCCCTTAATAATGCTTTAATTGTAATGAAGAAATAGGATTTCGAATTCAAATTCTTATAGTTCATTTTTATTATACATGGTCATGTAGCTCAGTCGGTTAGAGCGTCGGTCTAATAAACCGAAGGTCACAGGTTCAAGTCCTGTCATGACCAATTTTTTATTTATCTATTTCTGCATTTTTTTAATTATAGCCTCTCTAATTCAATGATATATTGCAAATCTATTACTAATTTAGCTTAACATTTATTATAATAAAAGTCATTATGCCCTTAATAATGCTTTAATTGTAATGAAGAAATAGAATTTCAATTTCACATTCAAATCCTAATAGTTCTTTTTTATTATACATGGTCTTGATCAATTTTTCATTTATCTATTTCTGCATTTTTTTAATTATAGCCTCTCTAATTCAATGATATATTGCAAATCTATTTCTAATTTAGCTTAACATTTATTATAATAAAAGTCATTATGCCCTTAATAATGCTTTAATTGTAATGAAGAAATAGGATTTCGAATTCAAATTCTTATAGTTCATTTTTATTATACATGGTCATGTAGCTCAGTCGGTTAGAGCGTCGGTCTAATAAACCGAAGGTCACAGGTTCAAGTCCTGTCATGACCAATTTTTTATTTATCTATTTCTGCATTTTTTTAATTATAGCCTCTCTAATTCAATGATATATTGCAAATCTATTTCTAATTTAGCTTAACATTTATTATAATAAAAGTCATTATGCCCTTAATAATGCTTTAATTGTAATGAAGAAATAGGATTTCGAATTCAAATTCTTATAGTTCATTTTTATTATACATGGTCATGTAGCTCAGTCGGTTAGAGCGTCGGTCTAATAAACCGAAGGTCACAGGTTCAAGTCCTGTCATGATCAATTTTTCATTTATCTATTTCTGCATTTTTTTAATTATAGCCTCTCTAATTCAATGATATATTGCAAATCTATTTCTAATTTAGCTTAACATTTATTATAATAAAAGTCATTATGCCCTTAATAATGCTTTAATTGTAATGAAGAAATAGGATTTCGAATTCAAATTCTTATAGTTCATTTTTATTATACATGGTCATGTAGCTCAGTCGGTTAGAGCGTCGGTCTAATAAACCGAAGGTCACAGGTTCAAGTCCTGTCATGATCAATTTTTCATTTATCTATTTCTGCATTTTTTTAATTATAGCCTCTCTAATTCAATGATATATTGCAAATCTATTTCTAATTTAGCTTAACATTTATTATAATAAAAGTCATTATTCCCTTAATAATGCTTTAATTGTAATGAAGAAATAGGATTTCGAATTCAAATTCTTATAGTTCATTTTTATTATACATGGTCATGTAGCTCAGTCGGTTAGAGCGTCGGTCTAATAAACCGAAGGTCACAGGTTCAAGTCCTGTCATGACCAATTTTTTATTTATCTATTTCTGCATTTTTTTAATTATAGCCTCTCTAATTCAATGATATATTGCAAATCTATTACTAATTTAGCTTAACATTTATTATAATAAAAGTCATTATGCCCTTAATAATGCTTTAATTGTAATGAAGAAATAGAATTTCAATTTCACATTCAAATCCTAATAGTTCTTTTTTATTATACATGGTCTTGATCAATTTTTCATTTATCTATTTCTGCATTTTTTTAATTATAGCCTCTCTAATTCAATGATATATTGCAAATCTATTTCTAATTTAGCTTAACATTTATTATAATAAAAGTCATTATTCCCTTAATAATGCTTTAATTGTAATGAAGAAATAGGATTTCGAATTCAAATTCTTATAGTTCATTTTTATTATACATGGTCATGTAGCTCAGTCGGTTAGAGCGTCGGTCTAATAAACCGAAGGTCACAGGTTCAAGTCCTGTCATGACCAATTTTTCATTTATCTATTTCTGCATTTTTTTAATTATAGCCTCTCTAATTCAATGATATATTGCAAATCTATTTCTAATTTAGCTTAACATTTATTATAATAAAAGTCATTATTCCCTTACTAATGCTTTAATTGTAATGAAGAAATAGAATTTCAATTTCGAATTAACATTCAAATATATGTGAGCTTAAGGTCGCAGGTTCGAGTACTATCTTGACAAATATGTTAATTATTCCTATCTCTTTTTACTTTTGTTTCTTCAATAATATGAATTCTATCAAATATTTAGATAGAAACTTTTATTACATAGATATATATAAGAAATAATAAATATTTGAATGCCTTTATAAATACATAATAATTAATTCACAATTTTAAATTTTTACTAATTTTTAGCTTTGAAATATATTATAATATTATGATATGGCAACGAATTATATCATTATATTTTTACTATTAAAATTTTTCAAGATACACAAAATCAGTTTTTGTGATATCTATTTAAATCTATCTCTCCATATATTTATTCATCAAAATATATATATTTGTAATTGATATAATAAAATTAATAAAAAATAATAAGCATGAACAAGATTTACATTTATATTAGAAATTTTTAAACTTAAAATAAAAGAATATGAATAAAATTTAGATTTCAATTTACATTCTAATATATTGTTAGTAATCAACTTTTATAATACAACAATTTTAATATTTTTTGAAAAAGCTAGAGATAAAGTAAATATGATTCCAATATTTTGATGGTAAAATTTTTTTAAATGTTAGAAATAATATTAAAATCACATCATTATTGAAATCACTTTATTACAAAATAATTAAGATGATTAATAGAGCTCCTCGATTTATGTTACTAAAATGATTTTCAAATTAGTATGTAAGGACTGGGAAAGAATAAAAATATTTATTATATCAAAGTACTTAGATTTTATAAAGAATCTTATTTTGAATTCAAAAAATAAAAATTTAAATACAAGTAAGAAGATTGAAATATTATTAGGACTAATAGTTTGAAGTTTATTTTATTGATAATTTATTTCCCTATGCTAATTTATAACAACATAATCAAATATTAAAAGAAAATATATTATCAAAATTGCAATCTTAATTGATTATAATCTAAATTTCTAAAATTAAATCCAAAATTTAAATAATTTTTGATATCGTCATCTTCTTTGTTTACTGTATTACACTAATAGTGAAGATCTGCTAAAATGCAAAAACAATAATGAATTTTATAAATGAGAAAAATAAATATTAAGAAATTGTGAGTTAAGAACAGCTTTAAAAAGTATTTTTTTAAGTAAACATATTTGGTTTAGAAAGTTACAGACATAATTATTGTATCATATTTTATATTAAAATTATGAAATTATCATAGTTAATTTACGAATACCTGCATAGAAAATATACGAAAACAAAATAAAAGAACGATGATTCATATTCTAAGCAAGTATATCGTACAATTTAATAAACAAGATAGAATTTGAAAATGGAGACACAGTGAATTTAAAAGGCTTCTCTTCTTCAGAATTAAAAAATAAAATTTCCACTAAGTAATCATTGGGGAGTATAATATGGAGATATTTGAGAAGGCCATTCAATTACATTTTTCTTACGATTAGCATTATATGTCTGAGTATAACTCAAGACAATTAATAACTTATATATGGATTTGTCATCCCATTTCTATTTGGTATAGTAATGTATTTAATAAAAACATTTTATTATATGATTTTGGTTCATGGTGAGGATAATTTAATAAACCAAAGATAAGTGATTGTGTTTAAGAAATTGAAGAAAATTTTGCATAACAAAAAAATCGGTTTAATGGAATATGAACAAAAATTAAATAAGACCTAATTTATATCTACTTAAAGAGCAGATAAGGGACTGATACCACCATCTCCTCAACCATTGACAGAATTAAATGAAAATACAAAAGTTAGTATAATAGAAACAATAAGATGGGAGGATTTGGAAATAGGAGACATAATAATATTATAAAGGAATGAAGTTTGTCCTGCAGATTGTCTGATTTTGGAGTCAAGCTAAGAAAAATGTTATGTGAATAACACATGTGTAAATGGACAGACAGATGAAGGAATAAAGTGTGCAAATGAATTAACATCTTTGCCTAAGATGCATTAATTTAAAGGAAATGGATTTGAATATAGATTATTGTTGAGTGGGAAAGTGACATTTGATAAGGATTACAAATCTGATTCTTTTTATACAGGATTCATTCGATTGAAAAATGATCCTTAGGCTGTAGATATTAAAAGAGAGAATATTCTGTATAGAGGATAATAATTGCAGACTTGTGATTATGTATATGGTTTAGTGTTGAGTTGTGGTTTGAATTGTAAATATTATTTTTCTAGCAATTTTGAGAAGTCAACAAAGTCTTTTTTTGAAAATAAGGTTGATACTTTCTATAAATTCACATTAATACTCATAATTTTGTTAACTTTTGGATCATGGATGATTGAATCAATTAGGTATATTGATAAAGGTTGGGAAATATTATATTTAGCTGATCACTTTTTGCTTTATTTGAATATGTTTCCTTATTATTTGATAGGATTATTAGATATATTATAAGTTCTTAGTTCCAGTTAGAAATTGTTTAAATTTAATAAACAGAAAGGAAATTAGAGTATTAAAAGTCAATAAGAATTTAATATATTTGTGAATTAGAAAATAGACTTAAATACAGTTTACAGTAAATTAAATGCAACCCCTATAGCTGATTTATCATTGGTGGATTCTGTCATTTTTGATAAGACTTGTACAATGACCATACCATAATTTAAGATAAAATTAATTTTAATAAATGAAACATTCTATGAAATACATAATAAAACATTTAAAAATACTATTGAATGGAAAAAGTATTAAAAAGAAATGTTAGATAATTAGGAAATGCTATTCATTTAAGATTAATCCTTATCACCTAATTAAATTTCGTCCATAAAAGTGTCACCTCATCATAGACCAATGAGTCCTGCTAAAAGAGCCACAATTACACCTTGGAGATTGGAGGACAACTTGGTCAACATTGAACCAAATTTTGAGTAAGATATACGTGAGACAAGTTAATAGGAAGAAGCCAACTTTAATGCTGAAGAGATTGCAGATGATCATTCCAAATTAAAAGAGATACATAGAACTAAACCTCCAAAATTGTTTTAAATAGATTCATGGGAATCTGGAACTGATTTAGGAGGAATGATTAATTAATTGAATGAATAAAGAATGATAAAATCTTAATCTCCTATTAAAGAGACAGCCAAACGTAAATTCAGTGAGAGAAGACCAATATTAGATAAGGTTGAACCCAAAAAGAAATTATCAGCTGATCGATTTTATAAGACAGATGAATTCAATATTTAATATGATAGACAAGATGATTTTATAAGCAATGAGAAAGAAATCTTTAGTAAATCATTGACTCCAGAATATAGAGGTATAATTGAAGAAGCATTATTTGTCCTCATCATTTGCCATAACACTTAAACTAAATATCTGAAGAAATAAGATTCATTATAATAAGAATTTAGCAATTAAATAGATGAATTATAAATTAATTTAGCTTAGAACTATGATTACAAATTTATTGGATCTACATTTGGGAAAAACAAGTACATTATTGAAATTAAAGAGAATTTAGTAGAAATTCCAGTGACTGTTACATAATTAGATCATAATAAATTATCTGTAATTACTTAAATTACAGATTATAATAAATTATTAGCCTTTTAATTCAATGATAAATTTGAATATATTCAATACATAAGAGAAGATGGTTTAGAATAGATAGAAGGTATTAATATGGATAAGGAGGACAAAGATGTTTGGAATGGAATAATAAATAAAATTATATAGAGAGGTTGTAGGCCAATTATCTATTATAAATATAATATGGATTAAAATAATTATAATTTATTTTAGAAAAATCCACAAGAAGAAATTAAAAATAAATCTAATAATTTAGAAGTGATTTTAATTGTTGGAGTGTAAGAAAAATTAAAGAAATAATTAAAAGATATTTTAAACTATTATCATAATGCAGATATATCTATATGGATTGCAAGTGGTGATACTAAAAACAAGGTATTACCAATAGCCTATAAATCTAATATTTTAAAGGAAAATATTCAAATTCTAAAAATAGAATCAAATGATATGATATCTTAATAAATCAAGTCACACATTTTATGGTGTTATAATAATCTAATTAAATAATTAAGAGAAGAATAAAATGATAAAAAAAATAATGAAAAACTCAGTAGTCCTAATAATAAAAGAAAATCAATAAATGTTGCTAGAAGAGCAAGTACAAGAGGTGTTTTAACTGGAATGAATAATAACTTATCAAAAACTAAGCCATTCTGTATTATGATTGAAGGGAAGGCTTTGGAGATAATTGAAAATGATGAAAATTTATATCATCATTTGGCATTTTTAGTCTCATTTTGCACTCACCTTATTGGATATTCTATGAATAAATATTAGAAAGGTGTTTTAATTAAGATATTATAGAAAAAATAATTATAAAGAAGAAGAATATTAGTAGTTGGTGATGAAGCCAATGATTCAATTATCATGGAAAATTCAGACTTTTCAATCTAAATTTAGAATGAGAGAATTAGTTAAAACATCAGAATAGATAAAATGGAATAAATTGAGAGAATAAAAAAGGAAACTAATACAAATAATGCATAGAATTCAAATAAGTTATCAAAATAATATAAAAATTTTAGATAAAGCTATTCTAATAAATAAATAGAAAAATATATATATCCTAAAGTAAGACATATGAGTACAGCAGATCTCATTATTAAAGATATGAATAATCTCATTACATTATTATTTTATGATAGTAGAAAGCATGCAGAATTTCTAGAAAATTTAATGATATATGCATTTTATAGATGCTATTTGATAATGTTTTGCATATTTTTTCAGCATATTCTGGATGTGGATAATGAAAATCCTCCTCTTTCTTATTTTTAATCTATCATGTTTATATTGCCTTGTTTATTGTTATACAAATAATCAATTCTTAATAAAAGAAACATTACTGATTTTAAATAATAACTAGTTTACTTTTATAATCAGAATTGGATTCAATTTAGAAAGCACAGATATTGGTTGTTCATTTACAAAGTTTTATTATTTTCAATTTTTGAATCCTTCATTATAATAATAATTTAAAAGTACATTGAATTCTATACAAATGATGGTAAAGATTTTGATAATGCTATTTTATCTTTATAAATGTATACAATAATCATTATAGTTGAATAGAGTAAATGGATTTATGATAATATTGTCTATTGGTGGATATTATTAATAATACTCTATTTATTGAGTTTATTAAGTTATATTCAAATATTCAATGAAACATACTATCAAATTATGGAACACATAATCAATATTTAAAGTGTATTTTATATCATACTCATAATTCTGATAGTTTATACACTTTAGCAATTACTTTTTTAATTTATTCCTTATACAATAGATAAATTAATGTTTTCAGTTAAAGACAAGATTTAAATTAGCAGTTTATTGAAGCCAATAGAGATATATTATTCAAAAAAAAGGAACAATAGCACACTTCTGTTGAATATATAAAAATATGCCTTAAAATTGTTTAAAAATGAAGATGATATGGATTCTTCTATAAGATCAATGTTGTCTGGTATGGCTTTGAGTGAAAAGAGCATAAAAATCAATTAACTTACTCAATAATTTAAGAATATTTAATTAGAAACAAAATATTAATTGAATGAATTAACATCAATTTTAGAATATTATAGATTTTATTATCCTTTAAGTTGGATGTTAGTTGAAGGTGCAATATTACTTCAAATTTGGTTTGTAAACAAAGACCATAATTATACTTGGTTACTTTATTTTTCATATGGTTACAATGGAACTTAAATATTGATGGCTCTATTTATATATACATCAGTGTTTAAGAAATATCATTTTAGATTATCTAAAATTTTGATTTTATCTCGTTTGTTATACAAGATTGTGTATGATATTTATTTCTTTTAATAAAATGACAATTCATTAAGTGATATGCTCATTATGCAGTTGTTTATGTTACAACCATTAATAGATGATAGACCATTGACTATAATATTTTATTGTATCATAGTCAATATAAGTTTCATCATCAGATTCAGTGCTAACAATACATCAATTAATTAGAATATAAATACATACATCATGCTCAACTATTATCTCATAGCATTTATGTAAACAGCATTAAGTAGTGGGACGCATTTGAGAGTTCAAAGAAATTTAAGACAGGAATTCATATAAAATTTATAGTTGAATTAGAAAATAAATTCAATAAGTGATACTCTCTCAATATTGATGCCAAAGTTTATCAGAAATATGATAAATTAGAAGGGAGAATTTGATATATAGGAGAATCAAGGTGAAGTGGCAATTCTATTTTGTGATATTTGTCAATTTGATACTATAATAAAGGTTTAATAATAGAATGTAGTTCACTTACTAGATATTTTATTCAGATAATATGATTCTTTATGTAATTAATACAATCTGTAAAAGATTGAAACTGTTGGTAAGACTTATATGGCAGCTTCTGGGTTAAAGAATTTAATCTCTTAAAATAATATTAACCCAGTTTTAAGAGCTCTATAAGTAGCATTTGAAATGTAGAAGTTTGCTTTGTCACAGAGTTTTGGTTAGACGGAAAATATTGTAGTGAAGATTGGAGTGCATTATGGAAATGTGATTGCTGGTGTTATTGGGTATCATAAACCCTAGTTTTCTTTGATTGGTGATACTGTCAATACTACTAGTAGAGTTTGTTCAACTGCTTAAGATAATCAAATAAAGATATCTGAAGAGGCATTTAAATAAGTTTCATCTTGTACCGATTTCACATTTACTTTGGATATAGTGGAGGCTAAAGGAAAAGGTTAATTAACTACATATTTGGTATAGGAAGTAATGAAAGAGAAGATATCAAGAAAGAAATTGAGAAAATTTAAAGATGATATGTAGATATTTCTAAATAGAGATGAATATGCAGGTAAATAAAGAAAATCTATATTTGAATTCAAGAATTCACGTAAACCTACAATTGTTCAATCGAATATTAAGATAACTACATCATAAATGATGCATAAATCAAGTATTAATTTAGATAATCAAAATGTTGTCTTAAATAATAGCAATAACAATAATAATGTGTCATAACATCATTCTAGAGGTGAGAGTGATTAATAACAGCCTCCTATGAAGGAACAATAACCTCTAACAATTACAGGTTAGAATTTAATAGAAGCACTTGAAATCAAATTAGCTAGAGAAAATCTTTTATTTGAAGATCCTTTAGAGTTTCCATTGATTGAAGTAGATAAAGATAAATTAAAACAAATCCATTAAACTGAAGATGAATTTAAAGAGATGGATGTGTTGATTTTAGACAAAAGAAGATTGTATCTTGATTTTCATTCAGATGTTGATGATGAGGTTATATAGGAATTTTATTAGTAATTGAGAAAGTAAAATAAAATACTGGTTATTCTATTAGAACTTGGTATGGGTATATTAATCTTGATTCAAAATACCTCTACTATTTTAATAGACAATATTTTTAGAGAAATAATAGTTTGGTATATAAATATTGTGTAAGGATATCTGATTGTCTTTGTTAAATTGATATTCATATGTTTATTATTTAATGAACAATATTGTAATCACTTTTTCAAATAGAAATACTTTATAGGGTTCTACATATTTATTTTAATCTGGTGGATTATGCACATTTTTAGTGTAAAAGAAGGTATAATAGGTGAAGTGTGTATAGCCATAGGTATCTTTCTATCTTTTTTGACTTAATTAAATCCAATAATCAAAATGAAATATAAGGTTGTTGAAAGCATTGTCATGATTTGTATGAATATTATTGCAGTTGTTGTTAATGATTGGGATAAATCCTTAATTTATTATGCTAGTCTACTTTAAGTTATATTTGTATCTAATTAAATTTATAAATTCTTAAAGAATGTTGAAGCATATAATTTAAAATGCAAATTGAAATCAAAACATGAATAATTAGATCAATTAGTTAAACATTAATTACCAACTCATATGCTTGATTAATTTTTATAATTGTAATAATCCAGAGCAGTCTTGAAAGATTAACATGAAGATGTTACACTTTTGTTTGCTGACATAGCTGGATTTACTGAATATTCAAGTAAAGTAGCACCTGAATAAGTTGTATTTATGTTGAGAAATTTATTCACTGAATTTGATAAATGTTGTCAAGAGAAAAATGTTTACAAATTATATACTATTGGAGATTGTTATGTAGTTATGGGAATGGTTGATGCTAAAGATAGAAATCCAGCATTGGAAGCTAAAAATACAGTAGAAATGGGATTTGAAATGATAAATATTATCAGTAAGGTTAGAGATAAAATAAATAATTCAGATTTAGATATGAGGATAGGTATACATACTGGTAAAATTATTGGAGGAGTACTTGGAACTGATATTGTAAGATATGATATTTATGGACCAGATGTTTTAATAGCTAATAAAATGGAATCAAAGGGTGATAGAGGAAAAGTATAAGTATCAGAATCTACAAAAAAAACATTAGAATTATGCTATCCAGAAGAATTTCAGTATTTTTCTCATTGTACTGTGGAAATTCCATCAATAGAAAGAAGAACTGAAGGTCATTTTATATAAATAAAGACTTTCCAAGAACCATCAATGGATGTATAGAATTTTAATTGAAAATATACTAATAATTATTTATATTAATCTATTTCATTTTTTATTATGTTTCAATGCTTCTTAATAAATTCCATAAAAAATGGAATCATTTAATAACAATAAATCTTTAGTCTTACCATACTCTTTGATTTCCCCTTAATCAACAACAATTATTCTATAATTATTTATCATAATGCAAAATAGTATTTAACAGTACAATCACAAAATGCATTCAAGATAGTTTCTTATATCTTATGATCAGTCTCAACATATTTTTCATTAATACTATTTCTTATTATTACTGATTCTTCATCTCCATAATAGTCAAATTATATGCAATCAGATTATAATTCATCAGTAAATAAAAATTTTTATATTCTTTTTTCAACTAATGTTTGTAGCCATTACCTCATTGATTGCTATGGATAATTACAAAAAAGGTTATTGTAACATTTAGAATAAACTGATTATTAAAAATGTACTCCCATCACTTAATTGATGACCTAATAATAGATGCATAATGGATGTTCCAAAATACCGTTTTCTTGTTATATCAATCTCAATCTACCTCAATTTAAATAATTTTTCTCTAAAAAATTATTCAAATACATTTATTTTAATGAATTTAATCTATGAAAATATTTAAATTGCACAATTTGTTCTCTTATCTTTTTCTTTCAATATTGTTTATTAATATTTCATTAAGAATTTTCCTATCAATGTATTCCAAATAGCTATCAATAACATTATTCCAAATCCTCCACCTGGATAATATGTTACAAATTATAGTTTTCCTGTATCTACTTACATTAAATTTATTACTTCACCAGGTGTATTAATAGGATTATTTAAGAAATAAGTTTGTAAACTTTTACTTAACAATTTTACCGAAAGTACAGATAAAGCATCAAAATCAAAGTCTTTCTTAAAATATTAGATACAAATACACAAAGAATCCTGCTTTTTCTCTTTCTGTTTTTCTTCTCTTTTGGTATTATGGTTTGGACAAAACTCCCCAAATCTTCAAAGCTATTATTTATTAATCTTTTTCTTAGATTATTACTATAAACATTATTTCAACTTTCAAAAACTCTTCATTTATAAAATTTTAAAATTCCATAATCTATTTTATTTGGTTAATGTGGCTGTTATAAAAAATTAATATTTAAATAATGAGAACAAACCAAGGTTCTAGTAATGATATACTTAATCGATAAAATCAAGTAAGATAAGCTATTGATCCACTTGTATCTAATTCTCCTAATGCTTGGAATGAGATGACTGGTTATGTCTCAAGAGATAAATATAATAAATTAAAGGATCTCAATTCAAAATTAAAAGTATAAACTATTTATCAACAGTATAGGCAGCTTTGAGAGATTACATGTAGGAAGGTAAAGATTAGGAGAAAATATTACAGTTAAAAGAGGAATTGATATAAAAATATGAGAGAGAACGATCAGATTGGTAAACAAAAGGCAATGAAGATTTGAAAACATAATTAAACGATATAAAAATTAAGTTATAGAAGAAGAAATCTAAAATCAAGTTAATAAAGGATGAATCTAAAGGTAATGAAATAAAATTGGAAGAATAAAAGAATTAATTCTAAGTTGAATTGGATAGAGTATAAAGACTTTATGATACATTAACAAATGAGAAGTAAGAATTCTATTTAAATAAATTAAGCAAGGATCATGAAAAACGATATTAAATATTAAAAGATGAAAATAATGTTTTAAAATAGGCTATAGTTGCAAAAGAAGAATAATGTCGATATCTTGAAATGGGAATAAAGGATGATAAATAAACTATATAATTATTAGAATAAAAAATAAAAGAGTAATTTGAAGAAAATAAAATGTTATCATTAACTATTAATAATTTAACTACTAAAACTGAAGACTTAGAAAAATTAATTAAAATTAATGAAAAACATCATTAATAGGATCTAAATAAATATTAATAAGATAAATTAATATAATAGCAAGAATTTAATACATAAATTAATAAGAAAAAAGAGAAAATCAAAAATATGGCTAATTAAATTTAATAATTGGAAAGTTTGATTAGTTAATAATAGAAATAAGAATTTACATTAAATAATACCATTTTAGAAAAATAATAAGAAAATATTAAATTATAAGCTCATTTAGATGATCAAAGAAATAAAACTGATTTAGCATTAAAAGAAGCTAATTATTAAGTATAGGAAGTAAAAGAATTGAAGTCCAAATTAGAATCATAAAAATCTTTAGTTTAATCATATGAAGATAAATTGGCTTAGTATGATAAATAGTATCAGTTAGATAAGGAAGATAAAGCATAGATTTTACAAGATATGGATTAATTGAATTAAGATAATAGAAGATTATAATAATTATTGTATGAATCAGATAATGATATATCTTATTTAAATTAATAGCATTACGAAGTATAATAATTTATGAATATTTAAATAGAAACAATTATAAATAGAAAAGAAAGTAGAATCATTGCAAATTCAATTAAATTATTCATAGGATGAATTGGCAGAATCAAAAAGAATTATATAGGAAATGAAAAAATAATCTATTGCAGATGAAGAATAGTTAGAAATCTATAAAAATAAATATCTTAAAACAAAATAAAATCATAAGACTTTATTAAATGAATAAAGATATGTAAGTATTTCCTTATAATAATAGTTAGAGGAAAAGATGAAATTGATTGAAAATGAAAGACTTTAAGAGGAAAGAGAAGCTTTAAAGACAAAAGACTTTATTGTACATTAAAAATAAGTGTAATAGAGTAAAATTAGAGTACTAGATGATATTTAAAGTATGATATAATAACATAAAAGAACTAATAGTTGATTATAAATTTATAATTGATATAAAAATTAATACTAAAATAACAGATTTTATGATTGTAAATATAGATTTAATCACTTATTATTAAATTATCTTTCATCTCTCAGATTTCGATATGTAAGGTTTTTCTGGTTACAATAATGGAGCATCAACATCAGGAATTGGAATTTAATCTTTTTAGTTATTAAATATTTTATTATTATCTCTTAACCCTTAGTTTTAATTCCAAGAATATTTATCAAATTACATAATAATAAATTAGACAGTTTCTTTCATAACATTCAAAGGCCTTTTAGAATTATGAGTTCCTTCAAATTATTTCAGTAATTTATTTCCTCTAAATTTTTCCATAAGAATTTTAGGATGCTTTTCAATTATCAATTAGTCTTACTTGGCTGATAAGAATACAATGGAAACATCTGTAGGTAAAGCTAAAAATTATGAATTGGATCTTACTTTGAATGAGTTAAGAGATATTGAGATCATCAATATTAAATTTGGCCTCTCTTCTTATTTTGGCTTTAATGAGACACCAGAAACAATTAAAACAACAATTAGGTATGTTATAACTATTTGATGCTAATTCTTAACAGAGATGAGTTAAATTAGAGAAAGGACTATCACACACTAAAACTTTGAAATTGTTATTGAGATTAGCTGCAAGGATAGCAGTCACTGAACCCATAGATCTACCCCACAATCCAATTTATGTAATAAAAGGCTGTTAGACTTATAATTATGAGGTTTACTTACTTTTTTGTCTCTTAAATATTCATAGAGATCTATAACATCTCTTGATTCATAATATCCTAAAGAAATATATTCACCTTAAGATTATCCAGAACCTATGAATAATTATTAAGATAGATACCAGATAAATCGATTCCACATACAGATATATTATAAGGAATTAAGTATTCAATAATAGTTAATGCTTCCACTCTACTGCTTGAGTTCCCATGTAAATAAATCATACATGGATGTGGTTTGTCTTACATTCTTATTGGCTCAAATAAACTTAAAATAATATGGTTAAAAATACCTGCATTACAAAATCAAGCTTCTAGAGTTTTAAATTTAAATGTCAAATCGTTTAGTAACAGTATCTGAAACCATGAAAATCTCATTTCCCATATCTTTGAGTCTATAATTATGTCTTGGTGGTCTTACTATTGGTTTCCACAGTTTTTCTGTACATCTATAGGATGGTTATTTCATTTTAAAATAATATGGTGTCAATAATAAATAGTATTGGTTTAGTATTAAAAATAATCATATAACAATGTCTTTAATGAATTATTTGATTATTTAACCAAATTCTCCACAATTTCATATAGATTCTTTTATCCAACATTTTCATGAAATCTTTTCTTGAATTCATTAATATTAAAATTCTCTAAACAAGCCAAAAGATTATGTTTTGGACTGAAATTAATTAATTTTACAAAAGTTAATAATTCTGTAATGTTTTCTTACAATATAGCAAGACCTAAATATAATAATTATGATTACCTGAAAATATAAGAATTTTATAATATGTAAACATATCACTATCTTTACCATTTAATAATTCTTCATATTCGTATATTAATTTAAATGGAGCTGATTCAAATCCAATATTACCTGGAGTCAAAGTCAATACAAATCCAAAGTCTATGTGAATTATATGACCTTTATTATCAATTAAGATATTCCCATTATGTCTATCTTTTAATTAAAATAAATAGCATATTAATGAATATGCTGCTAAACTTTCAGCAAAGTTTTTTTGAGCTGCTTGAAAGTCTTAAAAATTCATTTAATAAAATTTTCTCAATGAGATACCTTAATATTCTCTTTTAATCTTATCCAAAGAAACAGTATTTGGTATAAATTCTAAAATACCACTATTTGCAGAGGTTAGAATTATATCATAAGGTCGAAGGTAAAGACTTAATTACTTTTATGTAAATATTTCATTGATTTTTCTCATCATTTACATTATCAAAAGTTCACTTCTAAGATCATCACCTCCTTTTATTATAATTTATCTAACATCATGAGATTTCAAATTCCCATATTATGAAATTTATTTTATTTTTTATTTTGTAATTTCCCAATCTTCACCCCAAATTGAAGTATTTGTTGATTTAGATACATATATATCTTTTTCTTTAATCTTACTTTATTTTTACAAATATTATAATTTTTAATAATCTATTTTCTTTAAGGCCAATCTAAAATATTTATCAAATTTTATACTTCTTTAATTCCTCTATATTATACTATTAATATATTTTTATTTATGAAATAGTTTTCATTTCTTTTTCTATATCATATAAAGGAATTAATTCTGGTAAGTTTCTTTAAAATAATTCATTAATACTCTATATCAATTATAATTCAGAAGGACTAATTTTTAATTTTATTTAAATTTACTTTACAGTTTCTATTATAATTTTATAAGGAACTCTTTTTGCTGTATTAAAACAAGTAAATTCATCTTCTAATAAATTTACTATTAAAAATGAATCTGTATTCCCATAATTAAATGGTATTGTTATTCCTCGAAATTCAGGTTATTATTAAAATCTTAAACTTGTAATCATTTAATTTATTGATGCTAAAAATATTTTCATATGATTTTTTTGCTTTTCTGTATCAATTTTTTTCAATCTCAAACTTTGTTCTATTAAATTGAAGATTATTAGATCCTATTTTTCTTTATAACTATATCGGCAACCTTTAATGAATTTGCCTAAAATTTTCAATTTAATTTTACCTTCAGTTGATTCCACTATTTAATTTGCTTTAGCAAACTCTAAACTTAATTACTAAATTCAAAATATTTCTACATAATTACATTCATAAATGTAGTAAAGCCATTCTTGACTTTTTCACTCTTAGAATTCTCATTCAAAGCTTTTAACATCCACTCCAATCTAAAGAAATGTGCATTATTTTTAAATGCATAATTATAAAGTAATTCCTTTATCAACTTATGATCTGTAACATAGAAAAGAAAACTAAACCTAATGTAAGAGTAACTACCATAGCTAAAATAAGTATTGATCAAATTCAGGATCTTGTAAATTATTATACAAATCAATTATATTTTATCTAATGCATTCTTCTTTTTTTCCTTATATGGAATTTAATAATTGATTCATTCTTCTATTTAACAATGTTGTCGACATTTTCTATTAAGTAGTACTTTTTTTGAGAATTAATTAAATTTATAAATACACAATGTACACATATTTTCAACTTATAAACTTATTTTTAAAGACTTAATCTAAATTTATTACAAATCATTATCATAAGTAAATATGAAGCATTTATTAAGATTGTTATTCGTATTAATAAATTAATATTAATATTTTACATTCTATAAAAATATTTTAATCTGTTAATTTTTATTTATAAAAAGAATTACTCCATTTGATTTAACTTCACTTATTTTCCTTATCCTTAATCTAATGTAATCTGTGATATATAGATATTAATAAGAAAATAAAGTCATCTAAATTCTATTAAAATAAAAATAGAGTACTATAATTTTACTATTTATCTATAAATTATTTTTATTACATATAGTTTTTTGAATATCATTAGATCCCCTAATAAATGAGTGTAAAATAATTTAACTTTTATATTATAATCAATAATAATCAATTTCTTCATTATAGTTATTTTAATGAAAAAGGTACCTAGTATTGTAGTTTATTTTCTATTTCAAATATTTAATCTGATCCCATTCTAATCTTGTTTATTTTATTTAAAGTATTTGGTTATTTTATACCTACTTATAAATTTTTTAATTAAATTCTTTCATTATTATCCAATTCTTCCATTATATCTGCTCCAGCTGAACTAAGATCTTCAAAAGTTATTCTTCTACTAGTGTTTTCAACCTGATTAAATAATTTACGAGTAGTCAAACATTGAGTTCTATCAATGTTCTTTAAATGTACTAAATTAGTTTTGATTGACATATGGTTTTATTAGATTTGTAATTTTGGAGTTCCAGTTAAATCTTCTCCTCTCCTAAATAATTTGAACAAATAATCATAATCAGGTTATTGATCAAATTTAAGTCTTCGAACATATTCAAGATATTTAGATAGTTCTGGAGGGAGATTTATGTATGTTTCTGGTCTAAATGCTTCCTTCATTCTTTGTATTTTATAATACTTGACAGTCTTATCATCAGCAACAATATTATTCCATGGTAGTGTACCCATATATAAGTAAATTAATAAGTAACCTACTGATTCCAAATCATCTCTTCTAGATTATTCATTGCCTTTTAAACTATTAATGGATGCGTATCTTGCAGTTCCTATCATACCTTTGTTCTCTCTGAATTCTATATGTTTACCATCTTAAATATATTATTTAGATAATCCAAAATCAATCAAATGTAGTTTATCCTAAAAGACTACAAAGTTCTCAGGTTTAATGTCTCTATGAATAATATTTGAATGATGTAAGTCTTTAAGTAATTGAATCATCTACTACCCTGTATTTAAAATGGTAGTAGTATCAAAATTACCACATTTGATTCTTACCTATTCTAAGTTATCTCCAAGTAAATTCATTATAAAATAAGTGTTCCTGTGATCCTAGCCAGATGTGATTAATTGGGTAAATCCTTCAGTTAGCAGATGAAACATTACCCTTTTTTCCTTTTAACAATTACAAAATCTTTATTTCTCTTTAAAGAAGTGTTCTCTCTTTTTTCATTGTATTTTTTACTAATTTACATGCAAATATCTAGCCAGTGGAGATTTGCTTGACTTTCCAAATATATCCAAAAGAACTTAAGTTTTTTAAGATTATGTATACCCTTCACCTAATTTATCAAGAAATTAATAAGATTACGAAGCTGGTTTGTTATCTTAACATTTCATTTCAAGTGTACAATTATTTATATTATTTAAATTCATAATAACTTAGTCTTTAGACTCAAATTAAGTATGTAAATATTAATTGATAATCATGGAATTTTATCAAAATCTAGTTTTATTTTGTATAATTTATAAATAGGCTATTTGATGGCTCTAACTTTAATCAATAAATTTATTATAATCTAATTTGTGGAGAAAATACTAGAAAATATTTTAGATAAATAAAAAGAGCAACTCAAATAAATAATTCGCATTTAAGATATGTGTAATATATTTTGAATATATAAATCATGCACTTTAAGCAGCTGGATGCTCAGAGTTTTATCCCTTTGCAATTGTTTGTTAATGCTATGGTTGATATTGTGCTTTTGATTTCCTAATTTGAATATGAATATTTTCATTACTTTCCTGTGGTTGTGAGGAATTATCTGTAATACATGCTATTTGTTGCGTAGAGCATTTTGTTAATTGTTTTGTTTTTTTAAATTTATTTATTAAATATCACAAATTAATATTATCGTTTTTAATGGAAGAAGAAACCTAAGGATTAGTCGAGTAGAAAATTAAATTAAATAATGCAAAAGGATACAGGAAAATAGTATCCCCAATATTTAACACAATAATGCTCATTATTGTATTCTGTTTAATTGCCTTTATGCTTACTATGATGATATAATAGTAAAAGCTTACATAACATGATCAAACATAATTTCTATAGAAATAGTAAATTAAAAAACCCTTGATTGACAATAATGTTTATGAATATATCACTTTAGAAAATGGACTTTCTGTTTTATTAATTTAGAATAACGATGCAATCATTTCATAAGTGGCATTAAGTGTAAAAGCAGGATCCTTTTAAGAACCAGCTAATTATGGTGGTTTAGCTCATTTATTAGAACATATGTTATTTGTTGGATCTCATACATATCCAGATCCTAATTATTTTAATACCTTAATTTACAACAATGGAGGAACAAATAATGCTTACACAGATAATTATGAAACTAATTATTATTTTACTATATAAAATAGTGCTTTACATTAAGGTTTAGATGTGTTTAGTCACTTCTTCATAGATCCAATCTTGGATTAAAAGATGGTAGAAAAGGAAGTAAATGCAGTGAATAATGAATATGAAATCATTACTGATACTGATGAATGGAAAATTGAAGCTTTATTATAGATATTATCAGAGAAATCACATCCATTTAGTTAATTTTCAATTGGAAATTTAAATACTTTATTAAAAGATGAAAGTAATTTATCTTAAATATAAATTTGATAGTATCCGAATAGTTGAAACAATTTTTTAATTAAGCCTATTCATCTAATTTAATGTCATTAGTTGTAGAAAGTAGTTTACCAATAACTGAACTTAAAACATATATAAAGAGTTTTGAAAAGATCAAAAATAATAATTTAGTGGAACCATCATGTGAAGATTTTGGATCTCCAATCTAATATGGAACATAATTAATTTAATATAAATCAAATTCAGATGTAAAGAGAGTTTACATGACTCATTAATTGTCTGATGTTCAATAATAATACAAAACAAAAGCTATAGAATTAATTAATAATTTAATTTAATCTAGCAAAGGAGTTAAAGAATATTTAATATAAAAAAATCTAATTATAGATATGTCAAGTGGTGTTTTATTTAATGATCATAATGGTTGTTTTAGTGTTCTTGCTTTAGAATTTTAAGTTTATAATCTCAATGATTATGATCAGATTATATAATCTGTCTTTTCATATTATTTCTATCTTATACAGACTTTATTTGATGATTAAGGAGATACTTTAGTTGATAATGATAAATTAAGATCATTATATAATGATTATAAAAAAACAGCATCTCTGAAATTCAATTTTAAAGAAAATATTATTGAAGATATTTAAGAGATAGCTCATAATTTAAATATATATGGATTTCATGATGTTTTATCTAGAAAATATTTGTATGAAGATTATGATCCTGAATTAATATATTTTTATCTTACTGATTTATTAGATATTGATAATTTAAATGTATTTTTAGGAGATTCCTAATTAAATCATCCTGATGTTTAATATGATAAAGTTAATAGAATTAATTATGTCTTTTTGGATATTCCAGATTCAATTATATAGAAAATATAAACATATGATGAAATTGAATAACCTAAATTCTAATTACCATCTATTCATAAATATTAACCAAATGATTTGAAAATGAAATCATTTTGCAAACCTTATTCATAAACTAATTAAGAAGATCCTTATGAAGATTTATAAAATGAGAATATGCTTATTTAAAGAAATTCAGAAATGGTCTTTTCAAATGTTGAAGTAATAATTGTTTTTAATCTAATAAGGAATGTTTACAATATGAACACTAATATGAAGAATTATATCCACTTCCTGAATATTTATTTAAATCATCAATTGGAAAATTATGGTGGAAATTAGATAGATCTTATAAAACACCAGCCATCTTTATGGGAATGAAAATAGATAAAATCAATTTTCAATTCACTTTAAAATAATAAGTATTATTAAAGGTATTTCAATCATATACTTCCACTTTAATTTCATAACATTTAGAATCAGCCTTTTAAAATAATTATAATTTTAAATTTTAATCATCACCTAATCATATTATATTTAATATTTATGGTTGGAATGATAAATTCTTTGATTTTATTGAAGATTCATTAACATTCTTCATTAAACAATAAATCGATTTATAAGTTTATGATCAAACACTTAAAACTTTGATTAATTAATATAACCAAGAATTATAAAGTCCATTATATTCTCAAATAAGAAATCACTTTTTCTTAAATGTATAAAATCAATTATATATATTTTTAGACTCTTATATATGGTTACTATGAACCAAAATAAATCTTATAAGAATTAAAAAACATAAATATTAAAGATTATGAATAATTCCATTCCTAATTATTCAAAGGAACAAACTTTTAACTCTATTTAACAGGCAATGTACTCAGAGAAGAAGCACTTTCTCTATTTAAATCTATAGAGAAAAAGCTATTTGGAAAACCAAAACATTTAGATTATAATCCCATCTATTCGAAAATTCTTAAACTTTCGAATAATTATATTATTCCATATGCAGCAGAATCTAATGAAAATAATGGAGCTACATTTAATTATTATATTTTTGGAAATAGAAATAGAAAATAATTTGCCATAATGAATATTTTGAAAGGAACCTTTGATAGTTCTGCATTTAATTATTTACGAACTGATTTACAATTAGGATATTTAGTATCTGCTAAATTTACACCTTTAGAATGTCTTGATGGAGCAGCAATTTTAGTTTAAGGTAGTGCTCAAACACCTTATTAAGTAAATTAATATATTGAAGATTTTCTTTAATTTTTCTATAAAGAAATTGAAAAGATGACAGATTTTGATATTGAAGAATTAAAAAAAGCAGCTGTAATAAATAAATATATAATAATTTTAGATCTAATAATTGAGATAAAAAGAAAAAACTTTATTTGAAAAAGGATTAGCTTATTGGGATCATATTTAAAATAATGATTTCATATTTGAAGAAAAAGAAATTACTATTGATTAAATTGATCTTCTAAAAAAAGAAGATATACTTAATTTTCTTAATACTGCCTTTAAGAAGTCATCTAAAATTAGTATACAACTTTATGGAAAACATATGCTAAAAGGAATGTCTATTGAAGAATTCTTGAAAAATCAAAACCCAATCAAAAGTTTTTCAGATCTTGAAGAGAAAATATCAGATAAAGAAAAAATAAAAGTTGGAGCAATGTTATATTAATGTTCCTTTAAATTAGGTTAGATATGAATTAAATAAATTTATAAAATTTTATTCATTTACGATTTTATTATTGTTATTATTAATGTTCTTCTGTCTCTTATTTAACTTATGAATATTTTGGCTACTTTTATTAATTTGGCTGATTCATATTCATAAACTAGAAATACTAATCTTAGTATTAACCCATCATTGGAATTTAATAATTCATAATAGGAACTTATTATTATTACTATTAATTGATCTTTTATTATTAATTTTATTGTCCTTAAGCTTACTATTATTATTAATATACTGGCTAAGGGGCATATCTAATAAACTTTAAAATAATTAATACATTATTGGAATAAATTGTTGTTGCATACCTACAGGTTAGGATGCTGTCAAAGGAAGTTATTATAAGGGCATTTATGCAAGTTAAGGTATAGAAGCAATTTATGACATTTATATTTATCCATTTTACATTGTTGCCATTTATCCAGGCTAAACCATTTATGGAATTTAACCTTAAACTTGATGCATCATTTAAGGTGGGAGTTGGGAGATAATTTATGGCATTTATCCAGGAATTGCAGACATCATCTAAGTAGGAATTTATCCAACCATCTAATTTGGAATCTAACCTACTATCTAATTTGGAATTTAGCCAACCATTTAACCCATTTACCCTGGAATTTAACCAATCATTTAATTTGGAAGTTAACCAACCATTTATCCTGGAATCTATCCTTAAATTTAACTAACCATTTGTCCAGGCATTTATCCTATCATTTATCCTGGAATTTATCCCATCATTTAGCCAGGCATTATTGGTATTTGAGCTACCTAAGCCATCTAAACTTATGGATACATAAAATTTGAAGGATAGACTAGTTAATAATATTATTATTATTATTGTTATTATTATTATTATTATTATTATTATTATTATTACTATTGTTACTATTGTTATTATTATTATTATTGTTATTATTATTGTAATGATTACTACTACTATTATTATTAAGGTTATTATTACTATACTTAAATTTATTATTATATTGGTATCACAGGAGTTGGCATAGCAACTGATTGCATAATTGGTTATACAATAGGTAATTAAACTGGGATTTATTGTTAAGGAGTTTGTTAAATTTATTAAGAAATCTATTGTGGATTCTATTATTATTGTTAAAATTATTATTATTGAGATTATTATAATTTTTATTCTAATTTTGGAAGAGGTGGTGGAAGTGATTAAATTTTATTTAATGATTATTAAACTTCTTTTTTTTATTCCTTTTTTTATTTCATCAATTCCATAACAGCTTTTAATTATGATTTAGGAAATAGGTGTAAATTTTATGAATCCTTTCCCATTACTGCAAATTACACTTCAGATAAATTATCAGAATCACTTATTGGTTCTTCATCTAATTCTAAAGTATCACCTTTTTATGCTACTACATCTTAATAATGCTCTTTCATTTTACTATAATCAAGATTTTCATCTTAGTTGTATGATTAAAGAACTTTTTTGACAATATTGTTTGCATGCAATTTTTAATCTTTTTCAGCTGCTTTTATAAGTTTTTTAGAACCATTATTTTATGTATTTACATTGATTTTCTTTTATACATTCTTTTCTGGCTCTATTTCTTATTTTGTTTTAATTATTTTTGGTTCCAAATTATTAAGTTAATATAAAATAAAACTAATCTCTTATTATCCAAATTAGTCTATTTTTTCAATTTCATTTTATTATAATTTTCCTAATTCTTTTTCTATGTCTGCTTTACTTAATATTGGAACCTCTTACTTCTCCAGCTTTTTTAATATATTAAAATATCTATTCTTTATAGAGCTTTCTGTTCTTTAATTTTTCATCTCTAATGCTATACTCATCCAATTTTTTCCATGTTTTAACACCTATTTACATAATTCATATTCTTCATTCTTTTCCCAAGGACCTTTCTGAATATTAGGATTTAATTTATTAAGCCATCTGTCTCTTACAATTTTTGTCATTTTAACATTTGTATGATTTAATTTTTAAGCTAATTCTTTTGCAATATCACTCCATTTGAAGGTTTTATTTTATGCTAAATAAGAAAAACAAATTTCTTTTAAGGCTTCATCCTCTTTTTTTGACCATTGTTGTTAAAGTAATCTGATTTTTTTCTTTGTCCCAAATTATAATTTGCAATCAATAGTAGATTTCTTCACAATTTATGATACTAAGCTCCAAATATCATCAGGAACTTAATGATTACTAATTTATTGATCTAAACAATAAGTCTAAATTAGCAACTTTAGTAATTTGACTGAAGCTTCATCCCACTTATTATTAGGTATCTGAAAATCAATATTATTATTAGTCAGTGCTCTAATTTTATTCTTACTTACTTCATCTGTCTATTTTAATAGTTCTAGGAACTAATCGAGAAGCTCTTACATTAATATATTAATTATATTTAATTATAATATGAACAAAAAAAATAATTTTGCCAGATTGTATTATATAAAAATTTAATTTATATATTCATATAATTGGTATGAAATTATCATAAATATTACAATTAATCTATTTGAAATATTTTATGATATAATTGAACATATGTTTTAATCATTTTAATATTTTATTCTAATGCGTATTTGACTTTAAGTAAAAACTAAGGATCTATAAAGAAATTATCTTATAGTTGATTTTGAAAGAGAAATTCAATCTTTTCATAATATCTAATCTTAGGGGGATATTAAAACAATTATTGAAATTGAAATTATTATAATATATTATAAATTAGAGAACTATTTATTTATAAATAATATTATCATCAATTTAAAAAAAATTTGAAGAAATAATGAGTTTAATTTCTTATATCTGTTATTTCTTATTACTTGAAATTGGAATAGGGGATGGACTTGATTTAACCTGTACCTAAGTGTATTTGTAGCCTGGGGAACCATTCATAGCTTAATCTAAATAATCGATTTTAATTGAATAAGAAAATAATCATTATGAATTTAGAGAAAATTATCATTAAACATCAATAACAGTAGAGTTACAAATATAATATGAATTTGAAGGAATTTTATTATCATCTATTATAATAGATAAGGTTGATGACATATATTTAAAGGATATTTGTAATTTACATTTTGATGGATTCTATTTTATTTAATGTATTTAAGGGCTTTATTTATCAAATTTGAAACTATTTAATAAATCTAACTACTAAAAAAGCAAATTTATTGTGCCAACTTAAACTAATGAATAATGCAATTAACTATATAAAGATAGTAATAATATTATGGTAGTGCATTGTTTTTCAGATTCACACTTTATTCTATATTTCTTAAATCCAATTAAGCATTTATTTTCAAATATTAAATTTCAATATTTTCCTTAATTAAGCTATTGTAATAGAATGTTCAAATAATTTTAATTTGATCATTATTTACATATTATATATTAATGCTCATAGTGGAGTATTTAGGTATTAAAAAATGGTTTAGAATTAGAAGTTATAAATTAGGAGAGTATGTAAAAAAATTTCAATTTTTAATTGTAAAAAGAATTAGAAAATTTAGAGGTTTGTTATCCATTATTATACCTAATTGATGGTACTGAATATGTTATTCTTCGATTTGTTAAAGATAATTTTTAGCTATTGAAAAATAGTGATGAAGAAATAGGGTTGATTAAAAAATTGATATTAGATATGAATTGCAATATAAAATTCATTTTAACTTAGAATTTTAATGATGAATAAAAACTCTATTTGTAAACTGCTAATTATTTAAAATTAATTAATTATAATTTATCTACAACAAGAATTGAATATTTTAATAAATTTTTATTTCTATTAGAAAAAAATTTCTTAGAAGTACATTTAAATTGTTTTGAAAAAGAAAAGTATAACATTAACTCTGAGTTTATTTATTTTCCACCTAATCAAAATTATTTTTATTAATTTGATTCAATTTAAGAGATTTTAACTCTCTATTTATTCTCACTTAAGAATTGGATCTAAAATCCAAAAAAGTAATTCATTTTATCAATTTCAACAGAATTTTATGAATGTTGTAATGAAAATGAAATATAATGTTTTCAAATAAATTTAGAAAATAATATATAAACATATTCTCCTGCAGTAAATAACTTGATTAAATTAGAAATCGGATGTGATAATATTGGAACTAGTTTATTAAATAAAGATTAATTTAATTTAAGATTCCCTTATAAAATAAATGATATTTTTTCAAATCAAATTCGAATTATTTGCAATATTATAAAAAATGAAATAATTCTAAATAATTGTACAAATCTTAATTATAAAAACAAAGACATTATAATATTATAATATAGTATTGGTGTAGATTATGAAAATATAGTTTTTATGTAGAATAATACTATTTATTTTTTAAATTGTAGATAAAATCAGTCAATCTCCTAAATTGATCTCGGTAATAAATCAGTACTTTATTATCGAAATAGTTTTCTAGCAATAAACTAACAATAGTAATAACTTGAAATTTTTGGTTTTTCTAATAATTCAACTTTCTAATTTATTAATATTACTCTCAAAAATTAAATTGATTATGTTATTTAAAATTAGGAAAAAGCTCTCATTTTTTTTAAAGGCAATCTTTATGAGTAACCTCTACCTATGATAGTTTTGATTAATTAAATTCAATATCCTACTAATAGATACTTAGATGAAAAACTATTCTTTAATGAATAGGTTTACTACTTTTTTTATATTTAAAATCTTTTACTTATTTAATATAAAGATTTCTTTGTTGTTAAATATTTTGATAATTACTATAAAATTTATATTGAAAATATATAGATTGTGGCAGTCAGTGTTAGAGTAAGATTTGAACTAAAAATTATTGCAATACAAGACTCAACTAATAAATTATTGCAATATTGCTTATAATTTTCAAGTTTAAAATTAGTAAATAGTTACTCAATGTATGACTACAAAATAATTTAACCTGTCAAGTACTAAATCTCTCAGAATTACTTAAGTATTTTAACAACATAGAATAATAATAAATATCTTATGATCTTTTAATTTGAGTATATCCCAGATGTTAAATTGGAATAAATTATTAAAATAAGCAAAGATCAATATTTTTTTATTTCGGCATAAATATTTTACTACGATGCACAAGGGGATTTTTAAACTATTAATCTTCAAACTTTTAAGATATCATGTTAATTAAACTAATAAAATTATTCAGAAATGTAGTAATATAATATAATCAATTTAGAATTAATATCATAAATAGATGATTCTAAAATTGGACAGACAAATTTATAGATTTTAACTATAAATTAATGTTAAGACTTAAAACCTAAATAACCAAAAATAATTGTAAAACATAATTCAAATAGCACTTAAATTATTTATCTTGCTGACTACTTTTATGGGGATGTGGATAAATTATATCTTAATAAGCAATGCAATGCTAAATTGTCAGGACCATTTATAATAAAGGATTAGATTGAATAATGCAAAAGTTAAAGCTAAAATTCAGAAATTTGTTTAATTTATGATAAAGTTTAATTAGATTCTAATAAACCCTCCTAAAACATTAATGTTCCAGTATTTTATTTTGGATCCAAATAGGTTAAATTATAATCGAATATCATCATAATTCAGACTAATTAGTCAAATAATATTATAATTTTTCCTTTAAACTATTTCTTAATTGAAAATTTCATCATTATTTTTAATATCATTAATTTTTCCCTACAAATATAAATAATTCAAGCTGATTCATAATAAAGTACTATAACAAATTTAGATATTGGTTTTCTGTTTGATAATTCACTTACACTATAAATTAATGGCAATATAGTTTAGGTAGAAAATTCAAATGGTAAAATTTATTTATATTTTTCAAATGGAAATTTTACTTAAATAAATCTTTCATAAAATGAGTAACTCAATTATATTCTAAATTCAAGTGATTTTATCATAATTGAAGGCTATAATATGGAAAGCATGACTCTGAATTTAAGTATAATTTCAGATATATTGCCATAATTCTAAATTTATTCTAATTTCTATCTAAAAGTTGATAGCATTTTTAAATTAATTCAAAATTATTTTCCAGAGTGTTCGGAATTAGATATTAATCAAAATTTTAATTTTAGATTCCTTAATAGTTATAAAAAAAAATCAATCATTAATTCTCAATTATTAATCAAAATTCGAAATAAATGGGTGATTTTAGATCTATATATAGATTGCTAACATTAAATTTATTCAATTAAAGCTAGCCATTTTTTAAGACATTATAAACTTATAGAATCATCAATTCCTTATTATTACGATGAAAAAATTCTTATAATATTGGATCAAATAAATGGTAAATTTTATCTTTTTGATTTAAGATAAGAATAATAATTTTATGATTCGATTGTTTAAATGAAAAATGATTTTCGTATGGTAATATAAGATTATAATAATACTCATTATATTTTATTTAATCCTTAAATATAAGAAGCATATTTAATAGAAATTGGATATGAAATTAATATTTTAAATAAAGAGAAAACTAGTGAATGTGTATTAATTGCTGAAAATAATATATCAAAAGCTGAAATATAAGTATTCTATTAATATGAAGAATTTAATAATAATCTTGATTAAAAAAATATTATTATAATATCTATAATTATAATATGTATATTCATAGTAATAATTATATTTATAATAAGAAGATAAAAATTAAAGAAACATAATTAAAAATTATTTTAGTCAATATCATAATTAGATTAATCAAAACTATAATGATTTTATAATAAATAATAATATTATATAAATTAAATTTCTAATTAGATTAAATTGATATATTTGCTTAAAGATTATACAATGCAAAATTCTTAGTAAATTCAAGAAATAAATAAAAAAAATTGAATTGTATTATTATTTATTATAAAATCATTATAGTTTTGATTAATCTAATTATGATATTGACTAAAATAATTTTTAATTATGTTTCTTTAATTTTTATCTTCTTATTATAAATATAATTATTACTATGAATATACATATTATAATTATAGATATTATAATAATATTTTTTTAATCAAGATTATTATTAAATTCTTCATATTAATAGAATACTTATATTTCAGCTTTTGATATATTATTTTCAGCAATTAATACACATTCACTAGTTTTCTCTTTATTTAAAATATTAATTTCATATCCAATTTCTATTAAATATGCTTCTTATATTTAAGGATTAAATAAAATATAATGAGTATTATTATAATCTTATATTACCATACGAAAATCATTTTTCATTTTAACAATCGAATCATAAAATTATTATTCTTATCTTAAATCAAATATAGTATAATATGGGTAATTTCCAAATATGGCAAAGTTTTTGTCAGTATATATTATTTTCTCTTTCTCTTACATATTTCTAAGAATTTTTAAGATATTTTATTCAAAAGATTAATTTAATTGATTTAATGTTATAGTTACATAAAACAGTATATTTTCATAATTGAAAATACAATTTATTTGAATTGATATTTCAGTTTTTAAAGCATCAATCAGAATAAATTCCATGTTTTCTATTAGTGTTGGGTTTTAATAAAATTCTTTCTCATCAAAAGCTAGTTTTAATAGGTTCATTTTTTTTATATTATAAGTTTGTATTTGAGAAACTATACCTGATGAGATATTATAATGATCAATAACAATATCGTTTATCGAATTCACAACAAGATATTCTTCATCAGAATTCTATATTTAAGCAATATCAAAATGAAAATTACTCTCATATATTTAATTGATAAAGTTTTCATTTATATAAAGCAAATAAAATTTAGAGTCTGTTTAAAGATAAAGTATATTACTAATAATTCGTATTTAAGTAGCGTAATTAAAAATATATGAAATATTAAATTATTTAAATTATATATATTTATCCAATATAAAATCGTATTTATAAATGATTGCTTAGCAAGTTAGTTCATTAAAGTTAATAATTTATAATAGATCACCATTTCTTAATTAGAATAAATTATGTGTATTGGAGAGTAGCACCACTTTAATTTTGTTTGTTTAATTACTTTCTTACAATATTTTCATATATACATATTAAGATTTCCGAATAATTGAACCTTCAAAATTTTATTTTTAAAGACAAATTATAAAGGTACTTTGATTGCATGAATCAATACGCTATCTAATTTGCAAAGGACCACTTAAATTAAAATTACATTTTTCATTTAAAGAAAGTTTATTAATTGGTCCTGAAAAATGATTAAATAATTAAATTTTGTTTTTAATGTTTGAATTTAAAGTAATTGATAGATTTGATTTAGGAAAAATTTTAAAGTTTTAAATTAAAATCTTGAAATTCAGATGATAAATATTGTATTGCTTTAAATCTAATAGTGAAAATATATTTAAATGAAGATTAACAATCTCAAAAAGTTTATTAAATCCTTGAATGTGATAAGAAACTACCATTTATTAGTTATTCGTATATACTAGAAAATTATTCTCATCATAATAATAAATAATTTCACCCCTAATATAAAAATTTGGCTAACCTATTTAAATAATTCGTTTTATCTTGTATTAGAGGAGTTTAGGAGAATAAATTAGAAGATATAATTTATTACATTTTTCAGTTACTATGTAGAAATCTGAATTATAATATAAATATGATAACGGATTATAAACTTAATAATCAAAGAGATCAATATTTTGTAGAAATATTATCTCATTCTTTTCAAAAGTATAAACTTTTAAAGTTTATTCAATGTTATGTAATACAATAAAAACTAATATTTGGTTCAGAGTAAGTATTTTCTAATCAAGAAATTTAATTTTAAAAATATCTGTATTTTGTTGAATAAAAAGATAATCTTTAAATTAATAGATCTGAAAAAAATTAAAATCTTTATAATAAAATAATACAATCTCTTTATTTTTAATTCCATTGTTGTATAAAATTAGATCATTTCCAAAAATTTCAATAATTAAAGGTTCTTTTTCTTTGAAATTTATATAAACAAAATTTAAAAATAACGATAATTGTATAATTTCATAATCAATTTTTAAATTATGATAATTTAATTAATATTAAGAGACAATAATGATATTTATTAGATTTAATATTTTGTCTATAATAACAATTTTATTTGCTATAATAAATACATCCTTACCTTATATTTATTATTGATGAGATAATTTTTATTAAGTGCAGTTATAGAAGTAAATGTATTTCTCATCCTAAAATATATATAGACTAGCATAAAAATCATAAAGTAGAAAAACTGAATTCTAAAATATTCTATGGAATTGGCAAATATCAGAAAAATTATTTTTGTTTTAATCAATACTTAAAATATTTTAGTATTATATAGGTACCTCAAGATATATTGGTATTCCCATCATTAATTCATTATAATTAATAAAAAAATTAAGTTCTAATTTATTTTTAAAAACATTATAAACCATCTTTACAAATTTTTATTCTGATAATTGAGTGTATGAATCTTTAAGTAAAATCTTAGTACATCGAGCAGGTTCTTACTCAAAATAATTAAAATTGTGTAAATAATACTCATAAATATATTCATATTATGGTACAATATATCTGGATAGATGTTTCATTTTAAATATCTTTATTTAATTGATACTTGTATCTATTGCAAACAAATAATTAAATGTTCTATAAAATAATAGTAACCCTTAAATATCATAATATTAATTCAATTTCTAATTTATGAATATTTACAAGGTTTTTTCATGTTAGAATATAATAAATTATTCATGTTAATATACTTTGGGAAATTATATGGATTTACTAAATGATATTGTGGAGTATTATTGATAAATTTAGAAAGGTCTAAGTGATTCTTCCTAACCCAGAAATATATTAACTTCACAGTGACTATCAAATATTAATTAAGTTATTTATATTCTTTTTTCTTAATTTAATGGGATAAATTTTGAAATCTACTAATTTTCGATTTTAATGTACCCAGTGTCAAATAATGCATAAACTAAATACTTTTCAAGATGATTAAAATAACATGTTTGTAAATTCACTAAATTTGTTAGATCAATTTTATCTTAATATGCTCTTAAACTAAATTAATCTATAATGAGAGTAATATTGTTATCAAATACCTCAAAAACACTCCAATCTAAACAATTTATATAAGCTATTAAATAATGGAAGGGCTTAATTTGAATAGAAATGGATTTACAAAATTAAAGTTAACGATCTTAAGGATAATTATAGAATTAATAATATTAAATTTCTTAATCTAAATTTATTGATATTAATTTAAAGTTATTCTGTGAATAACAAAATAAGGTAAATTATGATTATTTATCATAAAATATTGATTCACATACTTCATTTGGTTAAGTTATAATTTCAGTTTTATTTGAGTATTCAAGATTTGTTTGATCTTAAATAAAGGTAAATCCATTTATACATTATATAAAATAAGTATTTTCATTCATAATTAGAATGCATATTTGTAATTCATCATAATTTTAAAAGGATTCTAATAAAATAGCTGATATTTATTTTCCTTATATTTCATAATGCAGAGACTATTCGAATCTTAGAAAATCGAATTCAATATGATCAATTTTAGTATAATCAGCTTAATCAGTATTTATTAAGAGAGATTCTTTTAAATTTGAATAATAATATTCATTTTTATCCATATTTAATTTATGACAGATGATAGCTTCTGAAAATTTTAGGATAATTGAGAAAAGCAATATCTTTTGAAACATAATCACTATATTTTATTTTTTTTTAATTATTATGAAATAATATCAATTTAATAAATAATATTAAATAATATCAATTTAATAAATAATATTAAATACAATATTTATAAATGTATGAATCATATTGAATTATTTGTAAATTTTTAGAGAATCTTAAATTAATAAAAGAAATTTTATAATTCATAATATTTTATATTTTATTCAATTATGTACATTTATTAAGAATTTTTGAACAAATTAATAAAAAATACGAAATGGATATTTTTTAGATGGAAAAATACTTAAAAATTTTAGATTAAACTAAAAATAACATATCTCAAAAATTTGTTTATAGAATTAACAAATTAAATTTAAGTTGTTGTTTATAAATTATATTATAAATGAATCCTTAGATTAAAGAAATTGCTTTTATATAGTGTCAAGATACAAATAGTAGAGTTATTAAAATTATAATATATTTATTATTAAAATGTATATTTATATATTTGTGAGTATATTCAAAACACACATTTTTCTGGTAATTCAATAGTTAAAACACTTCAATCAAACTGAGGTTCTATTAGTTGAACATTTGTAATTGCCATTAATTTAATTCCAAGGTAAAGATAAACATTCATGGCTTATCCTTTTTATAGGCCATCAGTTCTACATTGTTAAAATGTGATGCCAATTTGGAAAAGCTTAGCTTATTAAAATTAAACATAGAGTAAATTAGAGGTATTGAAAAAAATAATTCTAGTTAATTAGAAAAAGATTTATTCAATTTAAATATTAAATAAGCATAGCAATAAGCATAACATAGCAATTTTTACTAATAATTTAAGACTATTAAAATCTAGACTCATTAAATAACTTATAAAGAAAAAAGATTATTAATAAAATATGACTATTAGACCTATAAAATATAATAAAATAATTTTAGTCATAAACAGTAAACCAAATCAAAAAAATAGTCATTTGAAGAAATATTGATTTCAAACATTTAATTATTATCTGTTGTTTTATTAATTTTCATATTAATAATTTTAAATAAAAATTAAAAAAATAAATATTTTGTTATAAATAAATCATATTATATTTTTATCTTAAAAATGTAGCCAAATTGATTTAAAAAACAAATTAAGCAATAATAGAACAAATAAATCCTTTATTATTTTTGTTGATAAGAATTGGTAAAATAACTAAATACAACCATAGATAGGTTTTGTTATTTGGAGAAGTATGAACAATAAAACTAAAAAAAGCTCAATTTTAGAGATCCATAAAAATAATATCGTGATTTTATATTATTGTTAAACATTTTGGGATTTATATTTTTAGAGGATCATAATTTTATTAATAATCAATTAGAGGTCAAAGAAGAAGTTTCGAATTTGATAAATAATTATTAAACAATATAAATCAATTTGTTACTTATGAATTTGGTTAATTCATGGAGTTTCTTCCTTTGTATTACTTTTAACTTTAGATTATATGATATCTATAGAATCTATTTGTGTATTAATTGAACTTGAATAGGTTCTTGAATGTTTCATTTATTCACTTCCTTTGAACACTTGTTGAAATACCCATTTAAAGCTGCTCACTTATTCAATATGCTTTTATGATTATGCTATAATGGATACATCAAGTGTTATTGCTATTCGTTTAAGTGATTTTATTTTTTGTTCTGTTAAACTGAGTTTGATAGCCATAAGCATGATTGTAGCTGAAGTAGTGTAATCTTTAGATTAAAATACTGGGAATCCAATAGATTTCATTAACTTTTATTCGGCCTTAGAATAGATCTGATCATTTTACCAATCTGAGAGCCTCTTAAACAGTTGCATAAATAGTCTATTTTTCATTTTCTCCATCATCATTTT